TTCTGAAGGAGTCCCAGAGGAGTCTTTTGGAAGAGTCGCGGAAGAGTCTTCTGGAAAAGTCGCGGAAGAGTCTTGTGGAAGAGTCGCGGAAGAGTCTTGTGGAAGAGTCGCGAAAGAGTCTTGTGAAAGAGTCGCGGAAGAGTCTTGTGGAAGAGTCGCGGAAGAGTCTTGTGGAAGAGTCGCGGAAGTGTCGCCTTAAGAGAGTATAAGAGTTTTTTAAATTAATTTATTTTTTTTTTATTTATATAACTTCATAATTTTCTTTATTACATTTACATCATCTTAAATTTAACATATTTATTTTGTTTCCAACCAGGGGTTGCTGATAAATTTTGTTCATATCTTGTTCGTAAGAATTCGGAAACTTTCCTAAACCAACACCTATACAAAAGAAAATTAAAATTAAATTATTTGTATTTATTTATTATACTAATTTCAATAATACCTTAGTATAGCTTTAATGAGTTCCGTACAAATGTTGGCACATCGCTCCCACATATTTGTTGCAGTTTGTTTTTCTGAAACAAAAATTTATATATTTAGTTTGGTACTCTTAGATAAATAAAAAAGAAAGATAAAGTTAATCCATACCACTTATTCCATCGTCTCTTCGTCAGATAGTAAGGGTGCCAATGAATCATAGCTTTCAACGCTATAATTTTCTTCACAACTAATAACAAAAGTTTTAATATTTGTTTCACTTCTTTCACTTATTTCACTTGTTTCACATGTTTCTTGTTGTCCTGCTTCGGAAGTTTCATAAAATTTAAAACGTTTTTGGGGTCGCCATTCTTCGCGATTACTACGATTTTCAATTGCCTCGATGATGAACTCATTTTAGTTTAAAATAATATAAAACAAAAACAAATTAATAAAACAAAAATCGTTAACCGAAGAATTAAAATACAGATCGACCGCAAAGACAAAAGAACGAAGTCAAACTAAATGAACATAGAAATATTGAAAGACGTTCGGTTGGCACTCCTATTCTCACTCAAATGTAATGCAATTTGTTTTTGTAAAACTCTTTTGCTTTTGGACGCATTCTCTGCTTTGCATCTATGTACGGTACTTTAATCCCTGATTCCTTCATTTCCTAGTTTTTAACGTTGCTTTAAGGCCGCGCGCACACTACGAGCTGAAAGCGGAGCTGACGGCTGACGGCTTATCAGCTCTCTGAAACAAACACACTACTTGTATGAGAGCGCGCACACTGAGAGCGGAGCTGAAAGCTGATAAGGTCAGCTCCGCTCCGCTCTGTTTGATCAACCAAACATGTTTGATTTTGTTAGCAGCTGACGCGAGCTGATTTTTTAGACTATTCTTTAAAAAATTGCCCTAATTAGCGCTTAAGTAACAGAAATTTAAATTTCTGTCCAGTTATATAGAAAAGTATGAAGAATTTTTTTAATATTTATTAAAATAAAAATATTGTCAACTTTCCGAGATACAGGGTGCCAAAGTACACTAAAAAAACGTACTTTGTCAACCATATTCTGGAGAACTGGGTGGTCCGATTTCGAAAATTTAAATGTCATGATGATCTAAATAAATATGTCATCGCATTAACAACGATATTTTAAAAATATTAAAGAATTAAAATATGTTTTTTTTAAACGTATTGCTTGAAAAACAATTACAAATCAACATCAGCTTCAGCTCGCAGTGTGCGCGGCTGCAAAAAGCTCCGATCGCTGATAAGCTTTCCGCGGATAAGCTCTCAGCCGTCAGCTCCGCTTTCAGCTCGTAGTGTGCGCGCGGCCTAAGAGTCGCCAAATAATCGCCACCACGACTCTCAGAAGACTCTTCTTGGGGATTTTCGTAAGTAAGTCCTCCAGCAATCGCCACCGCGATTCCCAGAAGACTCTTCTTCGGGATTCCTAAAAATTATTTCACCAGTGATCGCCACCGCGACTCCCAGAAGACTCTTCTTGGGGATTTTCGTAAATAAGTCCTCCAGCAATCGCCACCGCGATTCCCAGAAGACTCTTCTTCGGGATTCCCGAAAATTATTTCACCAATAATCGCCACCGCGACTCGCAGAAGACTCTTCTTGGCGATTTTCGTAAATAAGTCCTCCAGCAATCGCCAAAGCGACTCCCAGAAGACTCTTTCTGGCGACCGGCGATTCGAGAATCGCCAAATGGTTGGCAGGGCATATGAGTGTATGTGTGCCTACCGCCAACTTGGAATCACCTCCAAACTCTTGCAACCTCGCCACCTCACCCCCTCTTTCAGCTCTTTATGGCAATGGCCGCCCAATGTTTTTCGCAGCCGTGTCCTTTACACACACTTTAAATTATTTATTTTTACACTTTTGCTGTAACACATTTTCCGCTGTCCGTGTGTGCGTGAGCAGTTTATGCGCCTCTCTGTGTGTGTGTGTGTGCGCCCGTCTGGATGGTTTCTGTTGTTGCTGCAGCCTACGAGAGCAGCAAAAGTTCGCTCGCTGAATTTGTATTTGCTTTCGCACATGTTCACGCTGGCTATCCTCTATCCCCGCCACCCGTCTCTTCCCCTCTGCTTGGAGCCACCCACACCCCCCGCCTCTGAGCTGCAGAAACTTGTAAATTATTTGCCTTTTGCCTTTATTCCTTACACATACGCGCACAAATTGTCTTGAGTTTATGTGTTAAACTTTACATCCCAGCCTTGGTGGGAGGGGTCGTTGGGGGGTGCGTCATTGTGGCTGCTCCGTGTTTCATTCACATACACTGAAAATAATCGTAACTCTCGATAGTTTGTAAAAGTGTAATTTTGGTACTTGAGAAATTTATTATAATTTCTACTTACATACCAAATAGAGCGTTATTTATCTCTCCCGAGTTTACTTCCTGTAGGAGGCTGCCAAAAGTAGGCAACGATCGTTGAGCAAAAATCATAGCCTTCAGAATATTTGCCAGCAGCAGAATTATATGCTGTGTATTTTATGATCAGAGCCCTCGACCATCACGTTCCTCTTAGGTTTGTCAGTGCAGCTGGCCTGGCATGTAAATGATATGTTCCAGTTCCCTTCGGCCACGTCTAACGTCAGAGGACTACGCAGAAGACAAAGACGAGGACATGGTTGCTCCTTTTATTGCTCCTACGCCATGCTGCTGCACCCCTCTCTGCTTTGTTCAGCTGTCGTGACCGTTGAACAAATGAACAACATAAATAATTGCAAAAACACACAATATACGCATACACAGAGTAGGGGGGGAAAATCGCAAGATTCTCGAAGAAACGTTTGAAGCCTTCGAATTGAGATTAATGAGCAAAGCAAAAGTGATTCAAAGTCAAAGCATCGTTGCCAGCAACAATTTAGAGCCCAGAATGTTAAACTATTGCGCTTTATCTTAACACATAAAATGGATTTATTGGGGGTGATAACTATAAGGCACTTATAAGAGGAAATATGTAGCCACTATCTGAGTCCTTTAATCTGTGTCTCTTTATCATCTTAACGCATACCATAAAGTGATTTAAATGAATAATTTAGCTGTGAAGCAGCTTTTATACAATATTATTATCAAACACTTTGAACTTTTTTACAAATTTTTTTATTTTAACAAAGACTAGACCAAAATAAATATTCATTTGTTCTCCTATGCTCCTCCTATATACATATATTTCACTAGCATTTATTTTATCTTTCCCACTTGCTCTTCCTGGCTACACTTCAAGTTCACTTAGTTAAAGTTAATTTTCATATCTCCAATTGTGTTGTGTTTTTATCGTGGCCTCGTGGAGTGTCTGTCTGCTATCAGTACCCCTATAATTACAAGTACTACCGAGGCACGCTTCTGTCAACTCCTCTCGGTCTCCCAACCCCTTCGATTTAATCGGCACTCGAGAGTCGACACCCCTCGATACTAATTGGCGAAACACTCTCGCGGGGAATTAAGGCTTTACCTGCCCCCCCACTGCCACCATCGATGCCACTGATAACAGACCGCAATCGAGACCGAAATCGAAATGGGAATCGCAATCCCAAACCGAAACAGAAACCAAATCAGAAGCACAATCCCAATCCGAATCACAATCAAAAGCCCCGGCAGTCGTGTAATTGCAGATACAAATGCGATTACACTAAGTAGCTTGTCTCGATAATAAATGTGCAGCCCGAGAGAGGTTTTGGGGTTGGGCTTTGCCTTGTCTATGTGGAAAACCGGATGTAAGCCTTGCTTTCACTTTCCGTTTCCAAGTTCGTTTTGTTCTCGGTGCGTATGCGTAATTGGCAACACGTCGTATGCAAAATATATCATAAAGGTGGGCGGGCAGTGCTAGTGAAATGGATGAGTGCGCCCCACATATCGTTTTACTATAATATTCTAAAAATACTTGGCTTAATTATATGTTAGTTTCCAACAGGGAATTGCCTCGTAAAAATGCCTTAAAGGTTTTTGATGACTAATAGAAATTTTATATACTTTTTTTTATACTTTCTGAGGAGAAATAAGCTGAAATATATTAAGTTTTTCTTGTTTATTATAATGAATTTCTTTATTACCAATAACATTATATATTGGACAAGGGAATAGAGCACTATTACTGCAAAAAATTAACATAACTAAAACAAAGAAATAAATTTAATAGAAAGCTGCCATATTTTTATATGAACAAAAATGAGAATTGTTTCTAAATGTTTTATTGAATTTCTCTGCAACGCATTTTAATTGTCCCGTTCGCATTCAACTGATCGTGTCTCATTCTTTGGAAATAATTTTCCAGCTAATCTGTAAAGTGTATTCCCGGCTTCTGCTGGATCTTATAAGCTCTCTCTTCCAGTCTTCCACTCCCCCGCTATCGCTCTCATTAATTCCCTTTCCATTGTGTTGCTCCTCTCTCTCCTCTCCTAGCAAGCATATCACAACACCAATAACTCTGGTCTGGCCGGTTTTACGGTTTAATGGCTCTACGGCTTACGCTCTTCCACTGCCCCACTCTCACTCACTCTCTAGCTCCCATTCCCCCAGCTGCTTGGACCGCTTGCCGTCTCTCAGTTTTATCTGGAACTCTGATGCCGTCAGTCACTAATTTTCGAGCGGTGCCGCGCGGTTGGGTTTCTTTTCTCGTTCAGGTGTAAACATTGTTAATTAGCCATTGTCGGTCGTTAGTGCTTAGTTCTGTTCCGTCCAATCTCCGTTATCAGTCGCGTAGTGCTAATCGCTGTTTTTTGAGTGCACTTGTTCCATAAAGTAAAGTCAACTTTCCTTTGCGTTTTTTCGGCTAATCACCTGTATCAATAAATAATTAAACGTCTTGGGGTTATCGCTCTGTGCGTGTGTTTTATTTTTAACAATATCAATTAATGTGAATGGCAGCCGCAGTGAAATCGTAAAATAAATGAGAGGTAAGCAATAATTAATGGCATGCCCCAAGAATCTGTCTGTAATATCCCCTTGCCCATCTCCCTTTCTCCGCTCTTACGCTCTTCGTCTCCTCTATCATTCACTGGAAAAACATGACATCCACGTGTGAGAGAGAGACAGAGGGGGGGCAGCGGAGAAGAAAGAACGGGGCAAGATAAAGCAATAAACGAAAATTGCAACAAGTTTGCGCGTTTAAAAACAATTGCATTTCCATTTAATTTTAAAACGAAAATCACGATGCTGCGAAACCCGCAAGAACAACAACAACTCAACTCAATTAAAAACCTTCAGCGGCCGGCAAAAAGCGACGAAAAAAAAGATGAATTGAATTGTGCAAACAGAACGACAGCAAAAACAACAACAACAAGAGATACTTCCATGCTGCATTTCGATACTCTCGCTTTCCCATCGCTTTTTGCTTATATTCGGATTTGATTACAGTAAATATCGAGTAACAGTCACCGACGATTATAAGAAAAAACATGGCATTAAATTGTAGTTTTTATATACAAGAAGTTTGTAGAACTATAAAGTTATAACGTTAACGTGGTATAAAATAATGTGTATAGTTAACTTTGGAAGATATATTCAAAATTAATACATTTAATTTAATCGACTTTCATTAAGAAAAGTTTAAAAATAAACTATTATATTAATTATTTCTGCTTTATGTTTTAAAAGTTTCTTTAAAATTTAAGGAACTTAAAAAATGTACAATTCTTATCCTATATCAATCCCGCTTTAATTTACCATTAAGGGTATTACAAGCATAAATTTTATGAATGACAAAGTTGGCGTAAGCCACGACAAGTGGTTTTTATATTTGCTTACAGCAAACACAATAACTGATTGCAATTAGATTGTATAATGTAGTTTATTGCTTAAGGCGTTATCGCTTGATTTCCAAACATAGACCCCAGAGATTGCAATTGTTTTAAACAACCTGTTTTAATTAGTACTCTCTTTTTCAAGTATTTGTCCAACATACATAACCAATCATCACGTTTTTTTAAAAGTACTTGACTAAAAATATATCAGCAGAATTAAAGATTAATATGGCTACTATACGCCCTAGAGATATGTATTAAAAATAGAACCAACGTGATAGTAAAATTTCAGATTGTACTTATCTCGATTTAATATGACAAGCAAAGATTTTATAAATATGACTGGCTAAAAATTAATAAGATTTCTTGTAGTGGCCAAAAAGAGTATTTAGATTTGAATCGTGAATTTTCCCATACTTTTGAGGTACGTCTTTTACCCATATTAATCGAATTTCGTTGCTTTATTATTTCCTGCTAACGTTACTTTAACATTTTTTGCACACCTTGCCGCTGTTTATGATTTTTATGGCGCTTCCACGCGACTAAACAAACGCCATCCATTTTAATGGTGAATCTATCAAAAACCAGCTGCCTGCGCATTTTCCACTCAACTTTATTAAATTATCTTTACTTGTTTTTTTTTTATGGCCAACATTTTTGCCAAAAAAGACCCATATGAGAATGCACTTTGGTTTTTCATTTATATATTTTTGATGCGTAATCAATTGAAACCCGATGACGGTCATATGTTGAATGTTTGAAAATTAATAAACAGAAATTGATTGCGGAAACTGTCATAGAATTTTGAGAGGGTGGTTTGAATTTCATGAGGTGCAATGAATTCCCATTAAAAGTGTGCTTTTGATTGGCTCAGGGAGCCCAGGCAGGGGAGCTTGACAATGTTTTCAATTTCGGAAACCCATTCAGATATTCTGAGTGCCTTGATACGCACCTACGAGGGCAAAGGTTGCACAGGAAGAAAAAAGCCAGTTCTTGATTTCCCCAAACCTAAAAAAAATGGTCTAAAAATTGTACTGTTTTCTAAAACCTTTCTGTAGTTATTTCGATCTTGGTTGATTTAGTTACAATTTATGTAATACTTACGCCAAGTGCAAAGCTATTTCCTTGCTTATGGAACACCTGCGAATGGCTAAAAGAAACAGCATAACTGCAGTAGTTTCCCCCCAAACATCGAATCATCAAAATTGCATTGAAACTATTTCAACTTTTCCAACCCAAAAAAAGGGGAGGGCAGAAAAGAGAGAAGGACTTGGTGTTAGTTGCTGTTTTCTGGCAACGGCAGCGATGCCGCTTAAAAATTCATGAGTGCGAAAAGCCACAGCAGGAAAAGTCGCATATAGAAGGAGAGGGGCCAGTAGCGGAAAGCAGCAGGATCAGAAGGCAGCTGAAAGGACGAGTAAAGTTTCGACAGGCAAACAAAAATCATAACGGAACCAAGGAGGATTGCCCTGGCGGATTCCCTGCGCTCCATGGCCATAGGAATGAATGTTTATTGAAAGACAATGTCACTACAAAAGCAGCAAAGGGCGGCAGGATACGGGGGTAAGGAAAAAAGGATAAGAGCGAGGACAGCGAAGCTCGCGACCAGAAAACCTCAAAAAGGCATGAAATGTCAGAGATTTGACGCTAGGGGAGATTCGGGTAGTTAGGTCTTCTGGCCCTCCGGGAAATGGTGATGCTAGCTGCTCATATGCATAACCAAGTACAGTGGAGATTTTGTTTTCAAGAAATCAGGGGCTTCCGAGGAAAAATTAGAAGTTGTCTAGGATAAAGCAGGGTACTTTCAAGCTCCTTGAAAATATTTAAATCGTTTTGATATTATTATTATTTATTTTTAGTAAAAACATTAAAAACTGCATTAAGTGCAGTTTTTTAATTCATATTTTTAAGGGGGTTATAACGAAGAAAACTCATTATTATTTTAATTAATTTTTAAAATTTACAAGCACATGTTTTAGACATCTATTAAACTGTAATTGTGTATTAATTTATAATTAAACAAAGCCTGGTTTTTGTAACTGAAATTAAAGTATGACAAAACTAATTAAAAACTGCAAAAGTTTTTTCTTTGGTAATTGAAATTATGAAGTAATTAATTCTTAAAATAATACGTTACAAGTGTTTAAGTCAAAAGTTTAAAGTTTTTCTTGCAAAAGTTTTTTTTTGTTATTTTTGGAAAGGGAGTTCTCGTTTTCCGAGCTTCTACTGTAGTCAAATGCCAGAAATTGGAATGAGGACTTCAGAAGTCCGGAGCAATGGTTCTCGTCCTGCCAGTCAGTCCTGTCATTGTCGCTCGGCAACAAAACAAACTGCAGCGGTGCAAGAAAACACTACAGAATACGAATACGAAAACAGAGAACTCAGGGGGAATGGTGGCGGTGGCGGTGGCAGACTTTTGCTTTTCATTCATACGAAATTACCTGCGGCCAAGAGCTTAATGCCAGTTGGACTGCAAAATCCACTTAGGAAGTTGATACAATCAGTTCCTCTCCGGCTGGAGATGGAACCACTACCACTCGGTGCCACCCCACAACCTCACATCCTGCTGCTCCACCATTTCCCAGTGCATTCTGCGGCCTGCATGGATGTGGACGAGGATATGGATCTGGCTCTGGCTCTGGCTCTGGCTCTGGCTCTTGATGTAGATGGATTCATTAAAACGAATTGCTGCGAGTTTTAAGGCCTGCCTTGCAGGGAATGGCTAGCTACGATGCACATCTAAAAAAGTTTGACTTTTTGATTTGAGAAAAGAAAAAACAATACAAAAAAGCACAGTTAGGACAAATTGAATAAAACCCCTTGAAATGGTCTCAATTACTGAGTATTTGGTTGTGTGAAATGATGTTAATGATATTACATTGATTAATTAATTGAATGTATAACCGGTTTTAATAGGTATTTTAAATGACTAACCATAAAGATATTTAATTTTGTTATAAACAAATTTAAAATATTTTAAAATTTCTCCCTCTGCACATTTATATCCTTGTATGGGTGAGTGGTGTGCAGTTTTGTGTGTGTGCCTATGGGTGTATGAGTTGTTTTTGGGGTTTTGTTTCGGGACTCATTGACGTGCAACATACACATACCCACATATGTATATATGGTGCTGGGGGCGTGGCTGCTCTGCGGCTGTTGGGGGATTGGTTTTGTTTGTGCCGCAAAGTATGCAACGGCTGCTGGTTGCAAGTGCCCCCGGGGAAGAGGTTAGAAATAGGGTTCTGGAAGGAGGTTTCGCCTGCAGGCTGGCAAAATGAAATTTTGGCTGCCTTATTTCGGTTAAAAGTTTATCCCAGCCTCCCAGCCTCCCAGCCTCCCAGCCTCTGCCCTGCTTCCTAACTGGCCACAAGTGGAAAACGTATTAAAACTGCAAATTAACTAGAGAATAGAGCTGATGATGATCAGTCGTCCACTCCGCCCGAGAAAGCCGCCTAATTAGGGGAAGAGCCTTCCCACTTGGAAGCTGCATTCGCAAGCTCGGCTCTGTCGAGGTCTGTTAATTATTAATGCCTCCACATTTAAATGCACAGCTTAGACTAAAACCTACACTCCAGAGTGGGCGTGTGTGTGTGCTCCTCTCTATGCCCATTCGGAATGGAACGCTTTGAGCTGCTCCATTTTCAAGTGGCGGAGGAGGCAGCTGGGGCAACACTTCCGCATCGGGAAAAAGAAAGCATAAAGGATGTACGAGAGTATATCCTTGCCCACACCCTTTGCACTGAGAAAGCCAGATAGGCTGGCATATTGTGCTTACGCATACATTTGCACAGACAAACAGAGGCAAAGCGCCTCGCATCCAGCATCCTCATCCTCATCCACATCCTCATTCTATATATCCCACATCCTTCATTCTTCATCCTACATTCTACAGCCCAGATCCAAAGTGGAACGGAGTCGAGTCCCCAGACCGACTGAACTCCATGTAACATGTTAATGAACTGCGCCAACTGTGTTTGCACAGAACTTAGTGTAATGTAATCCAGGCTGGGCACAGGACCCCAGCTTAGAACCCACACATGCACTGCAAGGATAAAACCATAAATTTGGGAATATATTTAAAACAAAACTGGTTGTGTAATGATGAAATAATATACAAACAAGAAAGGAAGCTAACTTCGGCACGAAGTTTGTATACCCTTGCAGATTGGTTTATATTATAGATTTAAATGCTGAAAACACTCACAAAACAAAGTTTCATTACATTTTATCTATACTTATTATGTTTACAGTTTGACAGTTACAGTTTTACATTACCAGCTTTACATATTTTATACATTTACCGATCGCTTCTATGGCAGCTATAAGATATAGTTGTCCGATTTTTATGAAATTTATACAAAAATTCTAGAATAATAAAAAAAAGCTTATATCTCAGAGTAAATAAAAATACGTTGAAAAACAACGAAGTTATAATTTTTCTATTACTTTTCCTATCGTTCCTATGGCAGCTATAAGATATAGTCGTCCGATTTTCATACAATTTAAACCAAAATTTTGAAATAATACCAAAAGCTCATGTGTCAAAGTAGATTAAAATACGTTGAAAAACAACGAAGTTATAATTTTTTCGATTAATTTCCCGATCGTTCCTATGGCAGCTATAAGATATAGTGGTCCGATTTTCATAAAATTTTTACCAAAATTCTGGAATAATATAAAATGGCTATATCTCAAAAATGATGGAATAATATCGAAAAACAGCCAAGTTATAATTTTTTTTCCAAAAATTTATCGAACATTTGTATGGCAGCTATATGATATAGTCGTCCGATCCGGCCCGTTCCGACATATGTAGCAGTGAGAGCATATAGAAGACTATATGCAAAGTTTCATTCAGATAGCTTTAAAACTGAGGGACTAGTTTGCGTAGAAACGGACAGACGGACGGACAGACGGACAGACGGACATGGCTAGATCGACTCGGCTATTGATGCTGATCAAGAATATATATACTTTATAGGGTCGGAAACGTCTCCTTCACTGAGTTGCAAACTTCTGACTGAAATTATAATACCCTGCAAGGGTATAAAAAATGATTTTAGATATCTAACTTTATCCTTTTTTTTTATTAATTGAATGCTTATTATATCCTTTAAAAAGTCTCAGCCCTAGAGTTTACCTCAGTGCACATATGAGTGTACTAACGCACACAAACACACTGGGGGCCTCACTCACACCTCAACGCCCGATGTGTCGAATGTTACGCTAAGGAGTAACTTTGACATTTACCATTCAAGGCTTATGAGTGCCACCACAGGGCGGTGGGGTCCTGACAGGGAACAGGGGACAGTGAACGGGGGCCGGAGGATGAGGGCGGTATGCTGTAACCCGCCCGGGCAATTGCCTTATGGTTATTTTCATAGCCCTGGCCTGGCCACAAAACTGCGAGCCAAGTGTGACACCGAGACGTGGACAGGGAAGAGGATAGGGACTGGGACAGTACAGGAACTTGAATGGAGGCTTGCAATGGGGTGCTTTTTAGTGGGCGGTAAAAGGACGAAAAGCGAAGGACGCAGGCTGTGCGGCGACAAAAAAAAAAGAGTTTGCAACGGCGACAATCCAGCTGGGATTTTCTCGGTTTCTTGTGCTTGTATTTGTTGTGGTTGTTACTTTTTTTTCTTGTTGTTGCTGTGCTGGAGAAGGACACATAAGTGCAAAGGCCTTACATAGAGGACATCATCAGGTGGAAAATTAAATTGCATTTAAGGCAATTGACAGAAGAAGACGTTGGTGCCACCTGTGATGGTGTATACCTCAGCTGGGTGCTGCAAAATTTCTTGGTAAATTATTGGGTGCAAAATTCCACAAAAGGTTGTGTGCGATACGCTCCTTGCAAATTTGTCAAGTTTCTATTGATTGGTGAACAAATGGGATATCAAAAGAATGCACTGAAAATAGGAAAATTAAAAGAGTTATGAGAATATATCAGATTTGGCGAGTTAATTTTAATGAAGTTAAACGACACTATAACTTATAATTTCCTTGTATTTTTTGTCTGTGTGCAAATCAGGTAGCCATAGTTCGTCATAATTATTCATATTGTTAAGCAAGAGTTGGGAAAGTAGGAACAGAGGCCAGCAGATAGTGGAAAGAGGGGTGGGAAAAGGACAAGTCCTGGCCACTTGCACTTGCTGCAGTGTCATATTAATTTAGTCAAGTGGCCACTTAAATTTTGCCACGACAACTAGAGAAAGGGGAGAGTGCGAGAAGAGAGAGTGAGAGATAGAGAGAACGAGAGAGATGGAGCTAGAAGTAGAGGTGGGAGAAAGACAAAGAGTGAGCCAGGGAAAGGATGACGAGGACGAGGACGAGGACGTTAAATGTGCAAATGGCAGTGCCAGCATCCCATCTCTTGCCCTGCCCCTATCTGTTTCTCTCTCTCTCCCTATTTAGCCATCTCTTTCTCTTGGAGGCTGCAGTGTCTGTGTGAGATTTGCATAAGTGCATGGGTATTAGTTTGGTTAAAATGTCACTGACTTTTGTCAGCCGCCTGTCAAATGGGCGCCCAAAAGTGTGCAAAGCAAAAGCATTAAAAGCCAGAGAAAACGAGAAAGGGAAGGGGATACAGTCAAATAGAGAGAGACAGCGAGAATGCCTAATGATTACAAATTGCCAGTGGCAATTTTAATAACCGCCACGACCGCAAAGCAATAAATAAAATTCACAATAAACACATTGCAACAAAGGAAACCGAGCTGAGGCAGCAACAGCAGCGGCTTTGTGTGTGTGTGTGTGTGGAAATCCTGGCGGCAGGAAAATCTAGAAGCTAAAAGCGGCTTTAATGCATTGCTGCGATTAATATTAATTTCATGCGGTGCAGCGCACAGTTGGAGGCTATCCAAGCTAAGTCAAGTAAGCCTTCGTCAGTGGAACGTTGGCCAAGCGGGATGCCAGGATTCGCCTGGGGATGAAGCAAATGCAGTGCTGCAGATGAAGCTGCAGATGCAGATGAAGTGAAGTTGATGGGCCTGCAAATGGGCGTGGGGAAAGGGATAAAGACGAGGACAATGCCGCCACATCATGCGCATCATTAGCCGAGATGCAGAGCCAACACTAGAGGGGAAACAAAATGTTCACTCGGAAAAAACTATAAACTAGAAAATGAGGGAAATTTTAAGGAAAGTAAGAGAATTTATTTGGTTTTGTTTAATAAATATTTTTTTAAGTTTTCAAGCAACTAAAAGTTTCTAAGAACGCAATTTCTATTCGTTTTTCTTCAGTGCATTCACATTCATTGCAGGCAGCTTCGCTTTTTCCCCCTCTCGAATTTTCCAGCTCATTTCGGCTGCAAGAGATTTTCCTTGTTCTGTTCGTGCCTCGCTTGCGGATTCATCCCGAATCGCTGCGCCGCTGTCGATGCCAGATAACCAGATTCTAATTGGTATCCATAACTGTGGGGCCACAACCCCGAATTTGATACACTCGAGAGCTCTCTCGCTCTTGTACATATCCACATCCATACACTCGCACGGTTTTCCCAACATTTGCATATTCATTTTCCACATAATCATCATCATCAGCATCCACATCAGCCCCGTGTGTGATCCGCACTGATGGAAAACTATCAAATTCATGGAGTAATTAACAAACCAGCAAGGCAAAGGGAAATGGCAGCAGGCAGGCAGGGAAGAAAGGGTTCGCCAACATTTGGGCGCCTAAAAATAGAATTTAATTTGACTTTTGCCAGTTGGCAGCCGCCGTTGCCGCCGCCGTCGCCATACACCTGTGGGAAAAAGGATTGAGGATGAAGTTCCCCCCCCCCACTGACGTGCTGACAGCATTAATTTCAATGCGGTTATGTGATTTCGGTGGCTGGGTTGCTGCCAGCGAGTTGCTTTAAGCCAGGAATGAAAACTGCAAATTAATTCGGGAAAATCCCTTTTAACCAGAGTGTAAAGTGTCGAGTATGCATGAGACGACTTAATTATGTTTTAAACTAGACCAAACAGCATTTTATTAAAGTTTAAAACAAAATTATAAACATATACCTTATATATACCTTAAAATTACAACCTTAAAATTACAACTCATTCTGAAAGTTTTTGTTACATTTTGAAATATTTAAAGAATGAAGAATCCTTCTTGAAATGTTTGAGATACAGCTTAAATATTTAGGTTTAAAAGAAAACTTTAATTTTATTAATTTGTTTGCTTAGATGTATTTTTACTTTATAAACATCCCTGCATTTTTGTATAAACTAAAACACATCGACTTCAAGCTTGAAGTTACGCTAGTGCGCTAATGGAATCAGACGATTAGAGCTCAAATATATAAACCTCTTTTAGGAGAAAACTTCTCCCTAAAAAGCTGCAGGCACTCTGCATAGTTGAGCTTAGTTCATCCCAGCACTTCTGACACTCTCTTTATTCTCTCTTTTGCAGCTCCCCGGTGCACGGCAAACGGCAAAACTAATTTATGGCATTAAAAATGCATATTTTCTAGCAGTGCGTCGCCAGTTTTTATCATTTGCCAGCTGCCAGAAAGAAAACTGCATAAAGTTGAGAAAGGGGGACAGAGAGGAAAGCGAATCTAAGACGACACGTTGGTCGAAAATTGGATTTGACTGCGGAGGATTTTGAATCCGAATCCGAAAGTTCTTTAGTCAGCAGCAGCATCCGAAGGAACGCAGGATAATTCGCATTTTTCACCGGGGGACTGGCAACGAAATGGCTTTCCTATGTGCACCGGTAAGTCTCTCAGTGTTTCTTTACCGCCTTTTATGCAGTCCCCCATACATCATGTCTCGATAGTGCAGTAAAATTATAAGGAAATGCTTTGCACTTATGGCGAACATCATTTTTAACGTGCCATACACAGCGTATACGTGATATTTTTCACATTAAACTTTTCCGCGCTCATCACTCTTTGTTCGCAAGTGATTTTAATAATGTGAAAAATGTCAGATCGTTATGGTTAAACTGCCGCATGAAGCGTCAGTGGTATGTGCTACCCGAAAAACTCCTGCACTGATGGATTGCAGGCGGTGAAATTAATCATACGCCGTGTGTGCTGCCTGCAACAGTTATGCTCTTTAAAGTGCCACCATATTCCATACGGGTTTGAATACGTTTGAATAAAAGCATAATGCGGCGGCTTGGAGCAACGAAGCGGTGTGTTGACAAATAAACACATGCGATAATACGTGCAAACTCTGGCAAGAATAACGAAAACAACAGCAGCAGCTACACTGGCTAAGGATGGATATAGTATATATAGAATGGAAGCCGAAAATGGAGAGTTTGCGTTGTATTAACAGCTGCCCGCACTGTCAATATTCCTCGACGATTTCAGGACCAAAAGGATGCGGGAATATGATGGGCGGCAGTGCGGGAATAGCAACAAGCTATGACAATGGCGGCATCCCGAAAGCCAACAGCCAAGACAAGCCTTTAGACCAGCTGCTGAACGGTGGCACAGTGGAAGCTATAAAGGGATTTAGTTACAGGTGTATCTGGCAGATTTTAGAATCCTTAAACTCTTGAATATATATTTTAGTATATTAATTATCTTTAGCTTTATATTTTAAAATATATTTTAACCGGTTTAATTGGTTTTTCTTTCTGTTCGCCCCACTGTTCGAATTTGGCATCCTTCGTCTGCCGTTGCCTTTTCATCCTGTCGGCCGTCGACGGCTGGCTGTTGTGAGTGCTGATTGTCAAGTGCTCGACCCAGACACGTGCTTACACAGCAATCCAGAGAGTCCTGCAGCTGCCACGCCCCTCCGTCGCCATCCTCCTCTCAATATTTGTTGAATTTCGAGTTAAGCTAACGTGCAAGTGTATTTAATTTGTGATATCATCGAGGGGCAGGCGATGGACCATCCGTAGTCCTGTAGAAGTGAGGTCACTCGATCCCAGTTTATGTGTGTGTGTATGTGTGGGGTGGTCATTAATGCAGCATTTAAGGATTTTGCGGTCTGAGCTGCATGCTGCCTGCTGCCTGCACTTAAGCCGGGGCAGAGGAGAACCAAAACAATGCCACATTCGAGTGCATTTGAGCAGCAATAATTTTTGCGGTGGGCAAAGACAAAAGCCTATTAATGAACACACACACACACACGCACAAGCTTGAATATCCTGCATTCTATGTGCGGTTGCAGGTGTGCGTGTGAGGGGCTTTTATTTCATTTAATCAATCATGCATTTAGTTTGACAAACCGTTTAAGACAAAAGCCCCACCGAAGAAGCCAGCTTCGAGTTAAAAGGCTTTTCATCAACGGCTCAGCTTGCATTGAATTCGAACATGAATATGATTTTGAATAGATGCATTACATATCTATTTCAATAGGGGAAGTACAACTGGGGAAGGGAGACTGATATTGACAGGGAAACCCTTTCAGTTTGTGCGTCTAGTTAATTGAATTTTAAATTACTCCCCCCTCTCCGAAAATTATGATTAGCGGCGCTCTCATGCATAAGTAAGTTTTCAATTCGGTTCGCTAATTTGATTTGCCGTCTAGAGGCGACTCTAAGACCGACAAAGGGTATCAATTATCGTGGCCAGCCTAGAAGTATGCCGCAAGGATTGCGTAATGCCCGATTACTCCCGCAGGGAGGAGGAGCTGCAGCCAGTTCTTTTCGGCCCAGTTGGAGGCCACTTGTCACAACTGCCAGAACAGGACAGAACTGAAAAGAACCGAACAGTTTGGGGACTGCAGGCAACTTTTTGTCAATGGCCAGAGGCCTCAAAGTTTCTGCACAATGAGAAAATTGAGCAAATAAAAATAGATTTGATTGGTTTATAGTAAAGCGAAAAATATAATAGAATGGAACTGGTAGTTGATAGAAATTTAAGAATACAAAAAATATGATTCTGTATTGTATTTTTCTTTGACTTGGGAAACCCTTTACACGGGGTTCAAAATTATGCTCCTTAATGTTATTACAAGCAAAATAACACTTCATTTGGTAATTACATATTTGTAGACCCTATTTTAAGGGTTCTAGAAACTCTAGTAAATTCTGAAGCTTTCTAGAAGCCCTAAAAAAATGTACAAAATTTTAAATTTGGAAAAAACTTGTTAGATTTACTTTGTTTTGCTGTCAATTATTTTTTATTATATTAAGAAAACGAATTGTTATTCAAAGAAAAGCTCTTAGCTTAAACTCTGAATAACTTCCTATATAAACCATCCCCACTTGGCCATCTTAAAGTTTTTTTACGACTTCCCCAGATCTTTGTCTAATAAGTTTTGGCTTTCTGACTTTATCAGCTTCAATCTTGATTGGCTATATAAAGTTTTGAACCAGCAGGTTATGTGTATATGTTAGTATATGCGATTTTTGTGATATTTTTCTGTCTGTGTGCGAAGGAGCCTTGCACTCGCACACACATGAATAACATCCGTGTGGTTGACTGCTTGCGTCATCAGCATCGCCAGTGGAGTATCAGCCTTGGCATGCAGTCAAAACGCAACTCGGCCCTCCACTTCTCCCCATATACATACATATATCTCTCTGCCATTCCCCGCAACTATTTTTCTATGTCAGGGGACAGGCGAACCGAAGCGGATGCAACTGCCCCAGACTGCGGCGGAGGCCACTGGATGTCATCAACTCAGCTCTGCAGAGAGAGGAGAGGAGCCTCCGAAGGCAAACAAAAAGCTTAACCTCAGCACAAATTTAAGCAAATATTTGCCTTGAGCCTCCCTACCCCCACCTTTTGCCCGGCATCTTCTTCTCCTCAAGGCAACTCCCCATTCCGTTCCATTGATGCAATTGAAGCCGGAAGCAGTTTATTTTTATTTTGTTCCTTTTTGCGGTGTCAGCAAAGAGTTTAACATTAAGCAGGTGCAAAGGGGTTAAGCAGAGAGAAAATGTAAGAACATGCTATAGGGATAAGTTCTTGAAATAGAAAGAGACTTTAAGAGCCTAAAATATTTAGAAATGATATAATTAATAAATTATTCAAATAATTTTAGTCAATCTTGTGTAGTTTTATACATTATAATATTAATAAACTAAAATTACAAATTTTAAAATAAGAAAAAGAAGCTCTTTATTAAAAAAAAAAGAATTCTATATGAACTACTAACTGAATATTTATTTTTATCAGCACAAAACATAGATTTCCGATCACATTTTTTCATCGTGTTTTGCTGGAAAACTTTCCTGATTTTCCCCTGGGAAAGAGGCATACATCAGAGGCGAATGCATGCACGATTTTAATCGGTTAAATGGCAGGGGGAAATGCAGGCCATATCTTCCAAGCAGCGCCAACTAATGATGCGCAAAATGTTTACAAATCATTTTGTCAATAACGACTACGTCGATGGGATACAGAAGTGCGGGGGGAAAAGGGCGATAAAGGAGGCAAAGAGGATCCTCTGTCAGGCCCATAATTTGCCCACATTTCTTGCATTCATCCGCTGGATGGAGCGGCCATGAAAAGGTCATTAGTGTGTGCGTGTGTGCCTCTCTTTTTCCCTTTACATACAACTAGTACAAGTGTGTGTGTGTGTGACACAAATGGCCATTCAATATGCCAAGAAAAAGAGGGGTGGGGTGGGGGGAAAGGACACGAAGGCAGAAGGACATGAGCTAAAGCCAAAGCCATAACAGCCACATGCTTTTTTCCACAACATTAACGCAAATTGCAAATAATAAAAATTCAAAATACCGAACCGTAGAAAAAGCAGCACGTGTTGCTGTTGTTGTTGTGTATAGTGTGTGTGTGTGTGTGTGTGTGTACAAATAAAGGGAGTGTGGGGGGTTTAGCTGCAGAGGGGGCTCCTAAGGCAAAACCACAACAACGAGGAGCCATGGGCACATTTATCGCAGCCAACGAGGCATTTTTTAAGTCCTGCAAAGGTTCACACACATCCATCTAGGTATGTGTAAAGCAAGTATAAAAAAAAATATATATAGGAAATTGAAGGAGCAAAAAATCATGCACTATGGAAATGGGGGAAAACTGTGTGTAGGGTTTCCCATGGCATATTCTACGCTATTCAGCCGCGATTGATCTATTCTGCAGGGGAAATCCTGCAATAGCTGCAAATACCGGAGTTTGACCAGCAAGTTGATCTTGGGATATAAGAAATAAACTATTTTTAAAGCCCAGAACTTTTCTTTGATATTTAAAAATAATTTTAAAGGAAAAGAAACTATAAATTGCTAGAAGAATCTACTTAGCAGCAACATTATCATGAGAACACCCTTTTCTTGCACATATTTATTAACCATTATTACCTCCATAGATTTATAACCCCCGTAGAATATGCAAAGTCCAATGCTTTTAATTTCTGCCTTAGAAAAAAGAGGCACTCTGTAAATAAAAGGTAACCAGGATATATCTTTGCACACCGCAAGATTCTTAGGCATTTTTTTCTGCCGGACGGCGCCTTTGCCAGCGAATCAAAATGGAAATCTATTTTATGCAGAGGCACGCAGCTTGGCCAAAGCCACCGGATCGCCACCCCCCGCCCACATATGTGGGTGGCTACGTACTGTATAAATATGTACATACATATGTATATACATATATGTGCTGCTCAGAGCTCCACCATTTCTCAGGCACGGCGAATCTTTAGACCTCCGCCTCCGCTTTTCTCGGGTCCGTGACTGGCGAGGCGTTGGCGTAAATGCTTTGCGTATGCATCCATGCATGCGACGCCATCTCGTGCAGCTGCCTTTTGCTCTCCGCCCAGTACTACCCTTACCCTTTACCCATATCCCACAATCCGGACTTTTAACCGGACCCGGATCCGGAGCTGGCATACAATTTATGTGCGAAATATGGCGCCGCACACCTTTTACTTTGCGTTTCCATGGCTTTTCTCTGGCGTTTCCTTTTGCCTTCGCCTTCAGCTTTTCCTTGTCCTTTTCCTTTTGCTGTTGTTTGTGGCCAACCTGCCACGTGCGGGACAAAATTAAAAGCCTTTGCATGCTCCACTTCCAATCCCAACGAATTCCGCTGAATTTCGCATTGAATGCAGGTACACTTGGGGAAAATGGGGAATATTTTTGGACTTCAATATGGAGAAAATGCTAATAAAAAGGGAAAATTTATATATATATTGATCTACTTTAAATATTTTATACATTTATTAAATATTTCTCCGCCAAGAAATAATATTTGTTATTATCCTAATCACTTGAAATCTCCTTGTTCTATTTCCTTTGTTTTGATATTACTTTCTGGAATGCAGCTGGCCAGAGTAATGACATGGCGACCATTGGTGACATATCGATGATCTCACCGCCCACGTCTTCCATCTCGAACGATCAAGATCCGTTTGGACAGCTGCCACCGCTACCACCGCCACTGCGTTCCACCCAAGTGCTCCAGCCGCTGAGCGTGTTTCCAGGTGCCCGTCCAATTATCCTGCGATTTGCCCGCCAAATATTTTTGAATTATTTTCCGCACACACACTATATATTTTTAACATGCATATATTTATGTATGTGTGTGTCTGTGCCAATTTCTATTTGTTCTTCTCGTTGTTTGCCTGCAGTTCTTTACCTTTTGTTTGGGCACCAATATTTTTTCCATTTAATTCTTGTTTTTTAGTTTGCCAGAGTTTTTTGTATAGCTTTTTCTGCCCATTAAAAAAGTTTGTTGCCGTGTTACTGTTGCACCTTTTTGTATAAAGCCCTGATTTTCTTCTGTTCTGTTGTACCATTTCCAATTGATTGCAACTTTAATTGGTGTGTAGATTGGGTTCTTTGATTGGTCGGTTTGTTTATTTGTTTGATTTCCTTTTCACGTTCTAGCAAAAAAGCGCCTGCATCACAGAAATACACACACACACTCATAACTCACAACCGTACAACTACACCTGTGCAGCAACTGTACCCGGTGTGTGTACACCTGTACGAACACCACTAGCCACACTCGAACATCGCCACAGAGAACCACATTTTGTCCCAAAAACCTTTGTTTAGCATTTTCAGCAGCATTCAGTCAATCAATCAATCAGTCAAATCTCAAAAACCAATCAGTCAAACAGTCGTCCATTAATTTATTGTTGCTCTCTCGTTTTTTCACCCAAAAAAAAACACTCAGAAAAGAAATAGTTGAGAAAGGAAATTCTTGATGGAAGAGTAATTTGTTCTTGAAATAAAATTTAATATACTTGATCTAAATCACCTATATTTTAACGATAGTTTTAAAGAATCATGTTTTATAAACGTATCCAGATTAAAATTAAATGCATACTGAAACAAAAAAAAGAGATTTTATGTAGATTTTGTGACTTAATTATAATATTAAATGTTTCTAATCTTGCTAAAATGTCTTTTAAGACTTTTGAAATATAAAAAACCATTTCAAAAACATTTTTCCAACTCAAACTATTTGAATTTTCCATATATTTGATATATTTCTATCAAGAACAAACATTTCCCAAGACAAGCATTAATTTTCTTGATTTATTTCTTTGCGTGTACACACACGAAACCCTCTACTTCTTTCTATATCTCTCTATTTGTCTAGTTCTATTTGCTTGCCGTTTTGTATTGCCACTTTTTGACTATATAAAATACCAATTTTCGTTTGTGTTGCCGCCACTCGAAACCAAAAAAACAAAAATCCAAATCAAAACGAAAACCGAAATCATACCAAAGTTTCGAATTTTTCAAGTAGCTCTTTGCTCCTGCCGTTCTCTCTCTCTCTCTTTGTGTGTGTGTTCTTTTTTTGAATTTGTTTATTAGAGCAACAAAATAAAATATTGCGACAGTGAGCTGTGCTTTGTTGAGAATTTTTTGAACGCAAGTATTTTACCTGTGTGTGTGCCATCCACCTTTAGCTACCTTTTGTGTGCTGTCCAAAATGAAAATCGCAATGGATGAAAAACCAAAAACCCAATGCTAACAAACTGCAACATTTTGTGCTCTCTCTCTCTCTATTCTTCCATACCAACCAATAACAACTACGAACTACAATAACAACAACAACAATATAATGAAAATGACAAAATCTCGACAATCTAAATATTTGCGTTCGTTCTAACATTTATTTTAATGTTTGTCTTATTTTAAACAATATTTACGTATAATAATATGTAGAGTGAGTATACGAGATACCAACAAAAAAAAGAAAAAGAAACAACAGCTTGTGTTGTTATTTTTAAGTTTCGTTTATAATTTCGGTTTAGTTTGTGCCTCTTTGTGTATGTGTTTGCTCTGCCAGAGTGTTTTCTTTTGAAAAACTAAGCCCTAAACGGTTGTATTCTGAATTTTCCTCATGCCCTGGCAGTGTCCAATTTGAGCGAAGATTCCTACGATTATGTTTTTGGTGGTCGACGTAAGACTCCGCCCACAACAACGTCAACACAACTCAAGCTGACCTCACCGCCTGTGCGTTTGCGACCCGAAGGTGGGTATATCTTTTAAATAGAGCCAAAGAGTGTTTAATAGTAAGATGCATAACGGCCATGGAGTGCTCTTGATCTTTCTTTAATTTTGAAAACAAAATGCCAAGAGAGACTGGAGCAAACTCTAAAGCGAGTACCAGAAAATCGTATGGCGTAACTCATCTTGTTGATAAACACTCTCTGTATTCATAAGGAGGTCTTAGCCAGTATCCTAATAGATGGATATAAAACCCTCTCTCACATCCCATTGAACATTTATAGACGCCTATCGCGGAGCTAACATAAACAACGGAAGGTTCTATCGTCACTCCTTCAGCTACGCCCCCAAACGGCAGCGCCACTCGAGTCGGGATGATCGAGACCGCGAGTCTAGGTTGAGATGTCATGGCGAGGACGAGGCCACACTGCGCCAATTGCTGCTCGAGTACGTAGAACTCCGTCAGTTTGATCCTTGAACTGACACTGCACTTGTGGAATTTTATATATATACATACATACTATATATATTTATAACCAAGGCCAAAACACTTGACCCCCAAACCCGACAATACACCCGCTGATCCGCTGCCAAGTGTGCTCTCGTAATGGACTCGAAAAAGGCTCATTACGGGTCATTAATTTGCAGGCGCGACCAGAGGATGCTGTCGGCCATAAATATCCGCTTTCAGTTAGACAAATAAACAGCAATTATTTGTGTGCGCCATGTTTATTTAATTTATTAAACAAATAACGAAGCGATATATTTTTAGTTTCGCCGTAAATAAATTTTAATTACAATTTTAATTTGTGTGCTATTACTGCCATTACTGCGGAAGACCCCCCCTTCCCTTCCGTCTTGTCCTTTTCACTTTAATTTCAATTTTTTTTAGTTTGTTTTGTGGCTTGTGAAATAATATATATATATATATATAAATTACAATGAGCAAATATGCAATGTTTACGCCAACCAAACGTATTTGTTTAATGTTCTCCTCCCACACAGATTTGCGCAAGTTATGTTCAGTTAAGTGTCCTGCGTGTGTCCTTAGACTGTCAATTATTCATTGAGGGCCTTTGTGTTGTGTTGTTTTTGTTGCGCAACCTCCCCGACAAAATCAAACGAGCAAATATCATATGTAAACCCCAATAACTCAACCGCGGCCACATACGACATTCACCAAACCCCCGAAAAGAAAAGACAAAATAAAGAAAAAAAAGAAAAAGAAAAGGCGAGAAAAGCGCTAAACGAAGTTGAAGAGATATAATTATAGCAAAAAGACTCTATAAAGAAATCTATTTACCCAAGGAGTCCAAAGAAAAGCCAACAAAATGATGGGCACAATGCCACCCAGGTACATATCCATTCCAGCCATAGCCCTAGCCATAGAGTTAATTTAAAAATTAATTAATTAACATTAACAATTAACAATTAACAAACAAATACCAACGCCTATCGCCTTGCGATTATCAACAATTTTCGAACATCACTCATACGCCATGTATACAGAGCACACATTTGGTTTCTTTCTTTCGTTCAGCCATCAGCCATTGTCCATCACTCATCGATTGTGTGTCGTATATTAATAAATAATTGTGTAAATGTACATTTAAATTTAAAATGGCTTATCATCCGCATTGATAGAACTTTAATTAAAAACTGTTAATTAGCAGCCGTTTGTTTGCCGTTTGCTGCCTTTTGCTTTCACACAAAAACCTCCTTTTGTTGCCGTGTCACGCGCGTTGTACAAAAATTGCAACTCAATCGAACCTTATTTACTTTGCTTAAAAATGTCACCGGGTGATTGAGCACATGTGCGTCCGCAATTTCATTTTCACACAGCCTGTCAATCACTCGGTTTAACTATATCTACATATGTCTGTGTTTTCTATCTGTGTATGTCTCTGCAATCACCGGAAATGCATTTCGTCGAATGGAATTGCTTGAAGGAGAATATGGGAATAGGGATGGAAGTTATCGATAGCCAACGATTATTCCCATATTGATCGATGAAATGCATTTCTGAACTGCACCTGATGATTTCCCCTCGCTGTGTCCACACTTGTTGTACATTGTCTATATATGTGTTCTTTATCATCCAATTCCCATTTTTTCGACAAAAAAAAACCCCTTTTAACCACAACAACTGCCACAACAACTCTATGAACAACAACAATTCAACTCAACCACCGTTACAACAATAAAAGCCACACGCAAAGTGGCCTGGTATTCACGCCACTCAATGAGTATGCAATTACAACCAACTAACTTCAATTACGAATCTAAATATTTTTACTGCTCTCGATTTGCCCCCCTCTTACTCCCCTCTCTCTAATACTATACTCGTTTATTGTAATGCAATAATCCAATCAATTTCCTACCCCTATGCACCTACTGCATCGACACTCGTAGCCCATCAAATTGATTTGTTAATTATTAGAATATTTGGCCAAAAACCAGTGAACTCTTCACTCAATCGGCTCTTCTACTGCATGCATCGCAATTAGAATTCAATTATGTTCAAATAAATTAATTTAGTTTCCAAAACGTGCTCATCATTTGGCTGTGGGGGGGTAAAAGAGAGAGAAAGGGATAAAGATACGAGAGTGAGATGTGTATATCGAAATGCCTAGTGATTGTGTGGAGTGGGTTTGCGAGTGTGAATCCCCCATTTGGCACTACTCAAAAAGCCCTCAAAGGCAGCCACAGCAATTTGCTGCCTTTTGCCAGCACAGAGAAAAATAAATAGATAATGTAAAATACAGATAAATAATAGGGGAAGCCTTAAAAAATATTTAGGTAATTTAACTAGAGGAAAACAGGCTGAAAATAGTTTTAAAAATGGTTATTTTTTATAAGATTGCTTGGTATTGTTAAAGGTTGAACAATTAAGGAGCTTAAATATAACCTTAAATATTTAAAATTAATAAAAAGTTGTAAGAAATGTATACGTTTATGGCACTTTGGCACACTAGGGTTGTCTAAAATGAATATAAATATTTAGGTTTAAAGTAATATTTGATATTTAAAATTGTGTTTAAAGATCTAAGAGTACATTTTGTCATTCCAAAATGCCAAAAAATATTAGAATTCTTAGTTAAATATATTTATAATATTTAATTTCTAGATTATATAAAAATAGGTTCCCTAAAAACCACAAATATCTTTCATTTTCTCTGTGTGGGCTGTGTGTTGTGTTTTTTATGACATGCCAAAAAGTGTTTGAGGGCCATTAAGTTGCTGTTCGCACCACGCACACACTCGCCAACACACGCACACTCCCGCACACACTTATTCGCAGCCATGTAAAGCCATTGACAAAAATCCTTTGGCCGGGCAGTCAATCAGCCTGCGGTTGGCCACTTCAGCACCCCGCCGTCTCTCTCTCTCTCTATCTCTTTTACCCTTTCTCTCTCTGTTTCACCCCAAGCCCTGCATGCCATCAAGTTCATAATTAGCTTAACCCCCTCACCTCACCCGCCCCGTCGTGCGTAATCTTTTGCCCAATACATCACTCCAGTCAGCCAGTCAGTCAGTCACACAATATTTTCAGGATTTTTCAACCCGTTAAATGTCCTTTATTTGCGTTGTTTGTGTTACATACATGTATATGTTATTCCGTTGCTGCAATGAATTACTGTACACTTTTTATGGTTTAATGTTTAACTACAACAGACCCCAGACTAATTGGCGTAACGGTCCCTTCACCAAAATTAACAAATAACCAAAATTAACAAAAACAAGAAAAGAAAAAACCTAGAGAAAAATTGCTGCTCTTTGTTGGTTTTCAACCTTCATCCCATCGCGTTTTCCGAGTAGAGACATTCCTTTTCCGTTCATCCGTTCATATTTGGCTTGCATATTTCCTTTTTGAAGCGAATTTAAACAGTTTCATAAAATACAAACAAGATGTTAATCATGCAAAATCATAAAATATTGCCTTGCAAAACGAAATCAACGAGAAAAAGACCACAAATAAATTTCAATTGATTTACAAAACAAGCAAAACAAAAAATGTACAGAAAACATCACCAGCCACGAGAGCTGCTGCAAAAGTTTATGAGAGTCAACAAAACAAATCGAAACGAAATAAAATAAAACAATCGAAATGAAACAAAATGCGACAGGAAAAACAAGAATTTGCAACGTTTGGTGAATGTCCTATATGCCAATTGGTTACCCAAACCCAAACCCAAACCCAACTCCGACCCCGACCCAACCCGATCCGAGATTCGATCTGATTGATGTACTTTACATACCGCAATATGTACGAGTGCTCGTATCTTACACACACTCTTGTGCTATATATGAGAACAATCGATTTTGATTTTAATTTATTCGCTGAATTTATTGTGTGCACTGGTTGTGAGATCTGTCTATATCCTACATATATATAGCCGTAACTGTAACTGGTGGCTGCAACTGATGTGTGAAGGTGACGCTAGTCTGAATATTTGACGGATGCGCTCTACTCTGACTGTGGACTCTGGCGGGTTAATGTGATTGAAACGCTGCCAGGGATAGATAATCCGCTGGGGGCATGACAGCTTTGTCTTGTCAAAATTTAATATTCCCATTTCCCGCGCAGCTTTTTTGACGAAATGAACAGCCCGCCCCGGGAATCCTTTTAGCTAGGCGGAAGAGAGGGTTACCTGCACGTACTGCAGCTTTTAATGAATGCACAAGCCAGGGGAGAAATTGGCAGAAAATTTATTAAATGCTCACGTATACAAATCCCTTACACAAAACCGAAAATTCCTGCATCTGACAGACGACGCACAAGCACACGTATGGCAATTGTTTTGCCAGAGAACAATAACTTGCACAGGATGCGTCCGAATCTCATCGTTTCGTCCTGGTTATGGTTATGGTTCTGGTCCTGCTTCTGCCGGTTGTTATATACATATATGCTCCCGATTCTGTTTCGGATTCGGTTTTGCATTCGCTAGCTGATGTATGCATAAAATAATCCTTTTATGCTCGGCACAACAATGTCCGTGAAATGCAAAACAATAACAGTACTAACGATAGCAACCATTCCGCCCCCCGCACTGCATTGCATTAACATAATGCGCAGGCAACTCAAGCACGGCCCACGTGTCGTATGCGCATTGTGTGGCGCGGTTGGGCGCCATATCGCCCATATATCGGCATGTCGCTATCCGCTGGCAACTGTCGCCCACAACTTTTGTTGCCATTTGATTTAGATGCCACCACCCCAGCAAACAAAGCGCAAAAAGCACCTTCCGATGGGAGTATGCAGAGTTTAGGTATACTATAGACTTACATGTGAATCGAACAAATAAAATTAAATTGAGCAGAACTAATTAATGGTTAGTTTGTGAAAGGCTGGTAGTTTTGTTAAAGAAATAGATGAAACTTTAATTTAAAAAACATAAAAATAAAAGATTTTTGTACTTAAAACTTTGATAGATTTAATTGTTAAGCTTTTATTAAAATAATTAAAATCTAAAAACCTCTTTAAACCCTTAAAAAAAATTGTGTAAAAATCATATTTCTCGGAAATCAATTTGCTAACATAAATATTTACATTTAAATTCCCCCATAAGTCAACAAAAGTCTATAAAAATAAACTAAAAATATAATAAAGTGTACAATAAATACATAAAACAATCAGTTTAATTTTCATAGATCAAAAGTACTAACAAACCAAATTTCAAAACCCAATATTTACCTTGAAGCTTTTCAGAAAATAATCAAAGAAAAACAGAAATCAGTTAGTGAAAAAATATTTATATCAATCAGCTATCATTGAATGAAAAAAATCTTCATTTAAAATTTATATATACATTTATTTATACTAAAAATTGTACAAATCAAATGTTTTCAGTTATAGAATTTCATCCGTAGAGCAAACAGCGAAGCCGAATTGTTTTCACAGGCATTTTGTGGCGGATGAAAATGTAAATTTGAGGCATTCCAAAGGGGAAGCAAAATACAAATGGGATTAGAACTACAACTATGACAGGGACTATCTATCTGTATATCTATGTATCTATCTATCTGTCTAGCTGGGCCAAAAGAGTTGCTGCCTTGGCTGGCCAGAAGACGAAGGAAATGAGGAAAATAAATGGGGCGGCTATATCCCGGCCAGAGTTCAGAGTTCAGCTTGTATAAGTATATATAATGCCGTCAACTTTTCATTCTCGTGCATTGTACATTACTCTTGCCTTAACCTTAACGAAATATGCCAACAATTTACTTTAAGTTACTTTTTATGTACTTAGTGGCCTGGCTTTGTTATTATTATTGTACCCATCCCTTCGTTTCGCATTCGCCATCGCCATCGCCTTCGCCTCCTTGTTGTTTCTGCCCTAACACAGAAATCCTTTCTTGGACTTCTGCCCAAGGAGCTGCTAGCTAGCTGAGTGACTATAAGAAGGAACTCTCGGCGGCTCCCGGTGGGAAGGCGGCAACTCGGAAACTTGGAAACTGGCGTGCGTTTTCAGTTTTCATTTCTTGGTTTTTGTATTGTATTTTCTGTGGCCCATAAAATTTATGTTGCTTCATTCCTCAATAATTGCATAGCTCAGTAAATTTTAATGCAAGCGGTCATAAATAATTTCGTTTTGTGTGTATTTCGTTTACGTTAACGTTTTGCGTTCTTGCGTTCTTGCGTTCTTGTAAGCCAGAGCGAAATAAATTACGTATACGCTAAATAACTCAGTCTGTGTGTAGTAGCAAGACTATAGTGCATTGAGTGCCATAAGGAATGAGCTCAAAGGCATTCCCAGTCGAACTGCCACTAAAATGCCTTTCTGCTTGATATTTTCTTTGACTGCAATCTGCCGACTAAATGAAATAATCCAAAAAACACGTGACCCCAGTTTGCAAAAGCAAGTTAGCGTGATGAGCATGAATCTGTCAGCGAAACTCGATGAGCTGCAGCGGGGAGATCGACACCTGGAGACGACGGTGGCCCTGTGCGAGATTCGCACCCAGCTCCAGGAGCTGACCAAGTCCGTGGAGAGCTGCCAGAGTGAAGTGTCTGAGGTGAGATCTTTCACCACCACTAAATAACTATTAAAATTGTAATGTGAAAATATTAATGGAAACACCAGGTGAAGCGCGACATGGTAGCGATCAAGCATGAACTGGACACCGTGCAGCAGGTGAAGGAGGAGATCGAGGAGCTGCGCGAATATGTCGACCGACTGGAGGAGCACACGCACAGACGGAAGCTAAGACTTTTAGAACAAGTTTGTAGCTTAAATTATTTGCCATGTTGTGTAATTAAATACTTGAATTTCATTTCTCTATTCATGTACAAACCGAAACACCAAGAACCAACTGCCAACTACCCAGAGCCAGACAACCACACGACCACCCACTAACCACCACCACCTACCACTGCCAACCACCCAAAACCACCCGAACATCTATCCACCCGACACACAACCACTCAACCACTGACAGCGGAAACTGCAACCGTGATGGACAGATGCAAATGCTCTTCCAATTGGTATCAGTTTTTGCAAGCACTCAAAAAAATTAATATTTATAAATTATAAAGAAAAAAATATTTTAAAAATGAGAGTTTCTAGGCCTTTTTAAGGCTGTGAATCCTTACAAATAAAACTCTGGTAAATTTAAAGAGTTTAAAGTCAAGTAAAATATATATCCAAAGGATTATTAACAAATAAATTTAAACAATTAATTTATATTTCAAATTATAGTATACCAACTATTTTTTTGAGTGCTCTCTTCTCACATGTACAGACGGCTTCTTCATCAACGTATTTAAAAATAAACTTATTATTGTTAATTGCTTTTAAGTTTTGTAGCAAAAATAAATCTAATAAACATATATGAAAATGTTTAAATTAAATTTTAATTTTGTTTTATTTTCTAATATTTTTTTTAAGTATTATTTTCCACATCCAAACACTGTCATTCATCAGAATTATTCTTATGCTTTCCTTATGCTCCTCAGTTTCAATTAGATAATTGGCTATATCCAAAGAGTAAGCTTTGGTTTCCTTGCCGCACACTCGTTTGCAAAGCGTTTGATGGACCCGCCCGCACAGCCCCCCACCACCGGATCCCCACTGTCCCGCCCTCACCCCCAGCCCCATCCCCTCCTGTGTTGTTCGCCATTAATCGTATTAATCGAAATCTTGCAGGGTCTCACCTTCTTCCTCACCTACTCGATATTCTCGGCGGTGCTGGGCATGCTGCAGTTCGGCTACAACACCGGAGTGATCAATGCGCCCGAAAAGAATATCGAGAACTTCATGAAGGATGTCTACAAGGATCGCTACGGCGAGGACATCAGCGAGGAGTTCATCCAGCAGCTGTACTCGGTGGCGGTATCCATATTCGCCATCGGTGGTATGCTGGGCGGTTTCAGCGGCGGCTGGATGGCCAACCGCTTTGGCAGGTAATTAAACGGAATATTTTAAAAAATAATAGAAAATATAATAAATAAAAATAGAAAACTTACTAATTTAATTTATTTTTCTATTATTACAGAAAAGGCGGCTTACTGTTGAACAATGTGCTCGGTATCTCCGGCGCTTGTTTGATGGGATTTACCAAAGTTAGTCATTCCTATGAAATGTTATTCCTTGGCCGATTTATAATTGGTGTTAATTGCGGTGAGTTTTGGGTTTTAAAACTATAGAAAATATTTTTATAAATTTATATTATATTATTTTAAATTATTTATTTATATTTTCTGTATTTTTTAGGCCTCAACACGTCGCTGGTGCCCATGTACATCTCGGAGATAGCGCCACTGAATCTGCGCGGTGGCTTAGGTACTGTTAATCAATTGGCTGTGACTGTAGGTTTACTATTATCCCAAGTGCTGGGCATCGAGCAGATACTGGGCACCAACGAGGGCTGGCCCATCCTGTTGGGTCTGGCCATCTGTCCGGCCATCCTGCAACTGATCCTGCTGCCCGTCTGCCCCGAGTCGCCCAGATATCTGCTCATCACCAAGCAGTGGGAGGAGGAGGCGCGCAAAGGTGAGTCACAGAAATTCCAGAAATTATATATACAAATAGGAAAAAACAAATGTATTGCCTTGGTTTCATCATGATTTATTTATACACATTAGCAGCTTAAATTATATTTTAATCAAATTGTATAAATCAATTTAATCTACTTGCGGGTTTTGTTTTATTTTTGGCCCATGAAAAAATCTTTAACAAAAAAAATTATGCTATGAAAGATTTATGTTTTCTCATATTTTATATAATTAACTATTTTTTGTATCTAACTTGATTTAATCATTATTTTTTCTGACTTTAATAATTTCTTTTTTTATAAAATATATTTCATTTATATATAAATAATAATTGGAGCTTATGATGATTTATTTTGTATCAAATTACCCTTAAAACATAGATAATTATTTTTTAATTACAAAGAATAAATCCTTTAGTTTGTTTTTCAATGATTCAGCTTACACATTAATTCATCAAACAATTAAAACTATTTTTATTCAAAAAATTTATATTATTTCATTTATATTATTAATATTTTTTTTACTTAATTTTGTAGCCCTGCGACGACTGCGAGCCTCTGGTTCCGTGGAGGAAGACATCGAGGAGATGCGTGCCGAGGAGCGTGCCCAGCAGGCCGAGAGCCACATATCGACCATGGAGCTAATCTGCTCGCCCACCCTGCGTCCTCCGCTGATCATTGGCATTGTGATGCAGCTTAGCCAGCAGTTCAGCGGCATCAATGCCGTCTTCTACTACTCCACGTCGCTCTTTATGAGCTCGGGATTGACTGAGGAGAGCGCCAAGTTTGCCACGATAGGCATAGGCGCCATAATGGTAAGATTTTCTTCTAGGAATTTCTTTAGGATTTCATTAATGAAATATTTTAATATTTTTTCTAACAGGTTGTAATGACCCTGGTGTCCATTCCCCTCATGGATCGTACTGGTCGCCGTACCCTGCATTTGTACGGTTTGGGCGGAATGTTCATCTTCTCCATCTTCATCACCATTTCGTTCCTGATCAAGGCAAGTACAGGGCTTTCCAGGACACTCGCAGCCAGAATGCCAAAGTGCCTGCCAGTTTGGGTTTGCGTTTGTTAATCCCCCGTCCATTTAGTTGGTGGGTCCACTTAGCGGACCCATCGCATTTGCATTTTGCATATGACTCTCCTCTCTCTCTGTGTGAACTTGTAGCAATGCCTAGACCTTATCCCATATCCCAGACTCTGCGCCCAGTGCGTGTCTTTATAAATATTTGAATATTGATATAAATATTTTATGCATGAAGTTGTGTTTAACCCCGCCGAGCCCCCAAAGAGAACCAGAAAAAAAATAACAACAACAACAAAAAACACTCAAAACAGACACACACTCAACACAAATACAAACAGACACGAGCATGACAGTTGTCCCGCGCGTATTTCTATAAATTATTGATGTGAGATATATTTGAATTTATAACAAGTTGAATTTATGACTCTCCCTCAGCCATTAAATGTACCTTTTTTTTCCCCTCCGCCTCTGTTTTTGGGTTGATGCATTGCATTTAAGACCTAGTCATAGATGTGTGTGTGCATTTAATTTATAGGCCAACACTTGCTGGTCACTTTAGTTATTAATTATCTCCGACTTTAAAATATGTTTACGCCGCCTGAGCCCCTCATGCATGATTAGCTTTGGAATGCTTTGAAAATAGTTTTAAATATTTACATATTTTTTATATTTAAAGCATTTTTTTAAAACACTTTTGCACGTTGCTTGCCTTTAGAAGAGTTTTTTGTTGAGTTTAAATTTTCAGTTGCCTAGGCTAAGTTGTTGCACCTGAAAGAGCTACCTGAAATCTAAATATAAACTCAGATATTGGACTTTCTCTTGGTATGAAAATATACCCTGAAAGACCACTGTCTTTGGCTTGGTTAGCCTACAGGTGCAACCGTCCCGCCCCCTTAATTAGAGCTATTCTCGACTTGGCAGGCTTTCCGCCCCACAAAACACTCTCTCACTCGAAATCAGTTGACGAATTCGTTCTGTTTATGATTTATATTGCTTATTATTTTCGCTTGATCAGGCCACGCGACTAGAAGCAAAACCACAACACAGTTTCAAAGGCAAGCAAAAGTTTTCAAAACAAACAAAATAAAAAGTAAAAAATAAATTTAAAACCAACACACAACTCTGCAAAAGTTTTTCCGGGCACCAGTTCCACCAAAAATATATTAAAAAAAAAAACAAATTTGGAGCAGAACAAATAGAGCAGAGCACCGCGCTGAACTCACAACACGAAACACACTCTCAATGTGACCCGCAGCAGCCTTATATATATCTTTTCTTTTCGTTTCGTTTCGGTAATTGTGTAAGATATAGCTTTAACCACAAACTAAGCATTCCTTAAGCATTCTCTGAGCCAGGAAAAAGACTCGAGCGGCAGTCCGGCCCAAGGTCAATTCTTAGAGAACCAAGAACCCGAGACCGGCCAAAGTCTACTCAATTTACTAATTTCAAATAAGCTAGCTAACCAACTCATGCATAAAAGATCAGTTCGATCAGGTTTATTTCGAGGGGATTGTATCCTTTATCCTTTCTGTATGGTTTATAATTTACATTCTTCCGCGAGAGAAGAAGGAGTTCGTCGGTAGACGCGCGAGTAGAGGAAAAAGCCTACATCGAGAATGCGAGTACTATGCATTTTGTATAGGAGTTTTTTGGTTATGTGCAGGAAATGATCGACTGGATGTCCTACCTCTCGGTGGTGGCCACCCTTGGCTTCGTGGTCTTCTTTGCGGTGGGTCCTGGCAGCATTCCCTGGATGATCACCGCCGAGTTATTCTCCCAGGGACCCCGGCCGAGTGCCATGGCCATAGCAGTGCTGGTCAATTGGATGGCCAACTTTGTGGTTGGCATCGGTTTCCCCAGCATGAAGGTGGGTTTTAATTAATTTATTAAGTTTTTAAAAGATTTTAAATTTAATTTTATTATATTTCTCCTTCAGACTGCCCTTGAGAACTATACGTTCTTGCCGTTCAGCGTGTTCCTGGCCATCTTCTGGATATTCACCTACAAGAAGGTGCCCGAGACCAAGAACAAGACCTTCGAGGAGATCCTGGCCCTCTTCCGGCACAACAACGGCAGGTATGTGTGCTTTTCTCATTCTCTCATCTCCCCAAAATCTGCACACAAATCATGGCAATATGTCGAATAGTTGTTCAACTCATAACTCGATCCTCTTTAATAACAAAAACAATATATACAAGAAACGCGAACAAAGTAACCGAAACCGAAACCGAAACCTAAACCCTGATTTACCAATTACTTGGAAGATTATTATGCGGTTAGCATAACCCTTTTGAGCCACTGAACCCAGTTTAAATAACATAAGTTCAGGGTTCAATCATTTTAAGTTTTCTAAGTTGAAAATTTCGTATATCTTTTGTTGGTTTAATGCACCATAAGTTCGAAAAATAACCCTCTGACTTGAACTACGTTCCATGTAATGCCCCGAAGGACTTTTCGAGATAGTAGACTGTACGGGTAAGTTGCATGACGTCGCCGTCGAAACAAAAAAAAAACAAAAGCCCGAGTCCTGGATCTTAAATTCCGAAAAATAATTAAAAATGTCCCCCCTGCCCGAAATCCAAACCAAAATCAATTCGATGCGTTTCGCTCTTCAACAAAGTTACCACCTTTTAAATGTAGCTCGTATTGCTGTACCTTATTTAGCCACTTTATATGTACAATTTTTAACCAAAAAACAAAACAAAAAAACAAAAAACTAAACAATCAAATGAAATTAATTGAATTCGCATTCTTCTGCGCTCAAAGTTTCTATGAATTTTGTCGGCATGTTTGCTTAACTCTGCCTGTACTTTGTTACAACTCGTTACTCTGTTACCACAACTACAACCCATTAACAACTGGCTGCCGTTGAAGCGATCTAAATAAGACTAGCGAACTACTACAATATATAAATACCCAACTATTTAATAACAATTTTAATACCCTCTACTCTCCAACTCTCTGTCTCTCTATGCATAGTTATACCGTTATACTTACTTACTACTATAATTAAGAGTCGCCTCTCATCTCTCTGTGCCCCCGCCCCTCGTTTCATTCAGTGTCATGTGTCATCCGATCCTTATCGGATCGCCATTGCCCTGCTCCTCCTCCACCGCTCATTGTTCATCATCGAATATAATGAATTGGTCAGTTTTAAAGTGGTTCACCCATAAAGCCATATATATCCTACATACACACACACCACACTCCTCACACACACACACACACTGATTTTGTTGCCCGATTTTTGTCCATTTAGCGAGGAGAGTGTTAACGACACCAGTTGCAACACGGCGGACATTGAATTATCGCAGGGCGAGGACAAGGGCAGCTCCTCCGCCTCCAACCACCCGAAAGCCCAGTGAGGCTCCAGTGACACCTCCCCTTTTCTCGCCCCCGTCCAGCTCTTCCATAAAAAAAAAATATATAATTTATAAATGTAGGAAAAATCACAGCCTTCACTCATAGCAATTCCTGGAAGATTCTGGGATGAGAGAAATGTGGGAGCCATTCTTCATGGCCATTAATCCTTAGAACTAGTTTTATTTCACGTTATATATATATTTGATTTTGAATAAATGTTATACTTTATTACCATTTTTAAATGATTTCTTGTTTTGATTTGTATTTTTGTTTAATTTTTAAGCCGCGCCTAATAACTTCCAAGCAGCCTCTGACTTACACTTGAAACTAATCTTGAAACTTGATCTAAATATACAGCAGCCACAGTAAAGTCCCCTTCTCTGTCTTCAACTCCCAAAAAAAAAAAAATACTATATATAACCCGATAAAGAAAACAAACTCTCGAAATTGCTCTCATTAGTTGCAAAGAAATTAAATTTACCAAATACGTTTACACTTAAAACATAATCGTAGAGTGTGCGAATTTCAGGAGTATGCTAAACTGCACAAATAGCTTGGAGCCACAAAGTATGAATTCTGGCATCGAGCATGCCGCCTTGATGGTATCTGAGGAGAAGACCCAACATGACTCACGTAAGAATCCAAAAAAACACGCCTACGTTCCACCTAGAACACCTGGATCCCCCATCCCCACCCCATCCACCTCCACCCACAACTACTACTACTACTCATCCTTATCAACTGCATCGTCCACTTGAATTTAAAGTCGAAAACTTCAATTACCACTTTAACACTTCCCAGCATCCGTTTGAGTTTTTAATTTCCTCGTTATTTGTTGTCTAAATTGCTCGAACGACACATCCTAAATATTTGCATATCCATATACACAGATGTGGCAGAGCAAACACAAGTCAGGTAAACACTCTGGAAAGAGTCTTAATTTTAAATATATATATATACTTCGCACTCACCCAATCAGTAGGGATATTGTATCTATGTGAATTCCTTTTCAAACAACAAACAACACGTGTTCAACGTGTCGAATAATTAATTTTTTGACACAACAGCAACTAGATGCAGGAATTATCCCAAAAGTAGCCTTGTAATTGTTAATAAAATCTCTAGGGAGGTAAAAAACTCATTTTGGGGTGACAAAAAGTGTGTTTTTTAATGAATAAAAAGCTTTAATGAGTTGTTTACTATAATTAAAGGAACATTTGAATAATAATACACAGAAAAAATTATCGTGGGTAAATCCAACCATTTCGTGGGTTAAAAGGCAACAACCTAAATCTTGGGTTCCATGGACTGTACGCTGCAGTATAACGACGTAACGCGTTACGTAACATGTACTGCTCTACAGTAAATGGAACCACGATTTTGCGGTTAAAAAGCGCCAAACCACGAAAATAGTGAAATACACTATTTTACTGTAGAAACTGCACCCACTGTTGTGAAAGAATTTTTTATTGAAATCTGTAATTATAGAGCTACAAATGGTTATTAAATTATATAAATTAGTGTATAAATCCTATTAAAAGCCAATTAAACTTACATTTCCTGATCCCCGGCCGAGATTCGAACCCATGTCTCAGAATTCACAGACCGCCCGCTTACCAACTGGGCCACGCAAATACTTACAATACCAAGGGAAAAGCAAAAATATATCTATCTCTCTCTCTCTCTGAGCTAAAAATAGATTTTTTTTTTCGTAAAACCTATTTAAGTGTGACCGAAATCGTTTTTTCAAGAAACGCTTGCATAATACTAGAAGTTTAGAAATATATACCAGAATTATACCAGAAAGTATTTTAGTGGGCAAAGAAGGTTCTGGATTTTAATAAAAAATTTAATAAAATTAAAAAAAATTGTCGATAAAGCTTATAATTTATTTGCTACTTAGCTCGGGAATGCAAAAATACATAGCCGAGACCAAAAAAGAACAAAAAATACATAAAAGTTATTACGAAAAACCTACAGTATTTTCACTGCAGGTGACAGTCACGACAGTTCGCAAAGCCAACAACAAAAAACACACCGAATCTCGTACGTAAGGGTGACTGTAATTGACTGTCATATAAACTGTCGTGCAGTCACCAAATCCAACAACAAAATACATGGACAGTAGGTTTACTGTTATTCAACCAAAAGAAATTGTTCATTTAACCCACCAGAATTTTTTCTGTGTAGGAAACTCTACACTTCAACGAGCAATTAGACACGTTTTTATTTTATTTTTTTTAATTATACAAGACACTCTCCTCTACCTTACTCAACCTCAACTCATCTCCACTCATGAATATAAAAATATATGTGTGTGTATAAATTTGTAATAATTATTAGTTGCCTAGAATTTTGTATTTCTTGTTTTGGAATGCCTTGATCCTGTGACTCTTGTTCCGTTCCATCTTATCTAGCTGCTTGTTATGGTAGAAATTCAATCTGTAATCTGTACTCTTCTCTATTCTATATTCTATAAAAAAAAAAAAAAAAAAAAAAAAAAAAAAAATAATCTGTAATCTAAAAATTTAAGGCGAAACTCGCTTAACTCTGAATAAATTAACTATCTTGTATTGTTTACTTCCATTCGGATTTATGAATTGTGTTTTAAATCAAACAATTTTAAACATTGGAAACCTCTCTCAATCAAACTCAAACCATCAACTGGACCCAAAAAAATATATATATATCAAACACAACCGACACTCAACTATTGTATGTAACCAAAAAACTGCAAAACTATGAACAAATAATCTTGCGACAACAAATATTGGCGACTATCTGATCTTGCATGAAATCGAAATCAAATAATGAAAACCGAGAAATCTCCTCTACTGTGCGCTACCTTTTGTAATAATCAAGTGTTTGGTACGACCTCGTTTTCCCTGACGGTTGAAGGCATGGGTCCCTATCCGCTGAGCGATAGCACCAATCTCCTGGGTCCCGGATCGAGCAGCTATGGTCCTGGTGGCGGAGTCCTTGGCTCCGTGGCCGGATCTGGTCAGTGCTACACGAACTACGGCACCAATCTGCAAACGCCGCAGCCGGCGAGAAAGTGCCACTACGATGAGGTCGACGACTACAATTTCCGCCGACATTCGGCGCACGGAAGGATGTCATGTAGGTTGACCCAGAGCACTGCTAACTAATAAGCCACCACCACCCAGCTAGTAAGCTAGTAAGACAGCTAATCAGCTAATCAGCCACTGAGCCACCACGCAGCCACTGAAAAAGCCACTCAGCCCATCACGAAAAGCATTTACATGAAAATGCCCATAGAGAGCGAGCTGCGCGGACAAAATGCACCCCAACAAAATGCACCCAAAAGTCGAAACTATAGCAAATATACTATATATCCTAGGCTCAAGCTGATTTTTAAATTTAAAACGAACCACTGACAGTTCGGATCATCGGACGATGAAAGCGTAGCTTATCCTCTTTTCCTTTCGTTCCTTTATAGTACGCAAGTGAAGGGGAAACTGCTGAACTTGGGACCAACTATCAAAAAAAAGTATCAAGCGAAACCGATTGGCTAAGTAAAGAAAAGTCGCACCACTAACTCTCTGAATAACACACAAAATATTTTACAAAAATGTACACCCAACTCACACTCACTCGCTGAAAAGATCAGAAAAAAAAAGTGCCAATAATGCGTCTAAAACGAGACACAAATTAAACTCGAATCACTCTAATCCCATGACATTTTCATTCAAAATCGTTATGAATCATATTACTTTTAAAAGCCAACTAATTACCACAAACACAAACGTTCATTTTCATGCCAATTCAAAATGTTTAACTAGAAATATTCTCTTTGAAATAGAAAGTTGAAGCGAATTGAAATAAAATAAGATGCATTTGTGGTGATAAAAGTAAGATTTGATTACTGATTAAAGACTGTTAGTTTTAATTTAAACTAAAAATTAATTTAAAGCCTGAGAAATCTCTAAAGATAATTCCTAAATTTGTCATTAAATAGTTGTAAATATAAATCATTGCTTACTTTTTTGCCAATTTTATTGCAGACTTTGTTAATAATTTTTAAACAAATTTTTAATTCTCTTATTGCCACTGCAACTGTATCTCTGAAATCGGTCATTAAAAATCCTTCAAATTAAAAAAAGAGAAATATTTCCACAATGAAAATCATTTCAGTAAATTAATTAATCAATCAATCAGACCATCAATCAAGCAGCAGCCCTTTTTCGAGTTCATCAACGCCCTGTGGAGGCCCTGTGTTTTGTGTGCATGGAAAGTTGGATGTTTTTATGGCCGCCAACATAATTATTGCATGCGTATTATTGGCATGGACTTTTTTGCATGCACCATTTTAATTAGTCGTAGTAGTGAAACGCCCAAAAAACCAATACAAAAAAAAAAACAATTAAAAAATAAAACGAAAAAATATATAAAATTAAATACTAACGATCCAGAGGAACCCCAGCAATTTGGCAAACCATATTAATTGCTTCTCTTTTGTGTTCTCGACTTTGGTATATTTTTTGTATTGTGCTTTTATTGCCCACCTCCGCCCAATGCCACCAACAACAACAACAACAACAACATCGTTGACCCACTGCAGCTGCATCCGAGCGATTTTTAGACGGCGGCCGAAGTACACACCAGGGCCGGAGCGCTGCCTCTGCGCCCCATCACCCTCGTCAGCCTCCACCTGTCTGCCCGAGCAGCGGGCCTTGACTGAGGAGCGCCTCGCCTCCTGACTCTGCCAGTGTTCGTTCCACGAGTCGCGCTGAGGAGCACCAGCAGCTGGGCCACCATCAGCAACAGCAGCAGCAGCAGCAACTCCTCCAGCAGCAGCAGCAGCAGCAGGTGCACCACCAGTCCCGTATCCAGTATCCCACGCACGAATACGTACACTGTAGCTATGAGAAGGAAGTCGTATGTGATCAAGCCAATCCCTCGCCAGCACAGCCATTGCAGCCGCCGCCACCACAGATGACGCCACAGCCGCCGGCGCCGTCGTCGCATCACTGCCAGCAACGCAAGCACAGCCACAGCCACAGTCCGCACCACAGTCGCCACACGTCGCCGCATGCCACCACCACCCACCATCAGCCACCGCCAACGCACTCGAATCCCCACCAGCACTCGCACCACAGTCGCCATCGGCGGCGTCGCCAGGGCAGCGGCAGTCTGCCGGGTGCCCATGGCCAGGGAGCCAGTCACTCGGCGGTGCGTCCATCCTCCATGTGCACCAGTCGCCGTCATCGCTCTGTCACGGAGTTGTCCTCGCACGCCTGCCAGGATCCCGCCTGCACGGATCGCGAGGTGCAGGAGATCCTAGTGCGTCGCACCTGCTGCAACACGGCCACCAATAGCTCCTCCCGCACCGAACTCGCCCAATGCTTCGCCGAGGATCTCTACGGCTCCTCTTCGCGCAGACCCAGCAGCTGTTGCACCTCCTCGGACTACTGCTACCAGACGGACTCCACGAGTCTGTATGGGTCGAGGTCCTCGCTGAGTCGCAACAACTCAATAAAGTCCGCCTCCGCCTTGGTGCGAAAGCATCACAGGAGTCAGCGGAGTCTGCTGCCGGAGCACCGGCAGCCCAGTTACACCTCCATTTCGCTGAGGGGCCTCAATGCCAGTCGCCCCAACAGCCAGTTGGGTTCTTTGACCTCGATCTTTGATCGGGCCAAGAACATGGCCCCCGAGCAGGGATCCACGCTGGAGAGGCAGAGCTCCAAGGGGGCCCTGAGCAGCACGGAACTGCCGGAGTATGCCTGCTCGCCTTCACCCATCCGCTGGAGTTTCCTGGCCGATGGCAGGTCACCCACTGAACTAGAAGGAACCCTGGGCAGCGCCGGAGGAGGAGGAGCTGCAGAGAGGGAAGAAGAGGAGAAGCTGGATGCCTGGCAAGTGCCGGAACCAGAGCCCGAGAAGAAGCCCTGCAGGAAGATCACCAGCACCAGTGAAACCTGCTGGAAGAGCTCCACATCCGTTTACGATGAAGGACCCAGCACCTCAGCGGCAGCTGCTCGAAAGCGTCGCGGCAGCAAGGGAAGTCGCGGAAGCAAAGGCAGCGGTAACTACCATTGCGAGTTCGAGGAGGAGGCCACCACCACGGTGATGTTTCACCAGGATGCCGGCGAGGCCTACAACAATTGCTGCAGCAACAATTACAACTACATCCAGTGCAACAGCTACCTGGATCAGGATTTGCAGATTACCAGCGAGGACATCCACCAGTACCTGTCCAAGGGAGATGCCACGGCCAGCGATATCCTGAACAACTCCAAGAACTATCCCTTCCAGCCGAGCAATGCCCTGGAGTTTCAGTACAAGAACAACTTCCAGCAGGGACAGCAGAATGTGGTGAATAACAATACAAACACCACAAATACCGCCTCCAGTGACGCCGCCGAGTGCTTTCAGAGCTACCACAGGGCCAGCTCCAAGGAGACCAATCTCAACCAGAGCTCCACGGAGCAGCTTTCGCCCACTAACATCAATCTGTCAACGAGCTCCAACAACATCAACATAGTGTTTAGCAGCAGCCTGGAGAGGAATGCCAACGAGGTGAAGTTTATCAACAACAGGAGTGGCGGTGGAGGAGGAGCAGCTAGCTCCGAAGTGGGCTGTGAGAGTCACCATACTGGCTACTTGCCCTACACCTATCCCAGCTATGATTACACCAACATGTCCGGCAACTCGCATTTTGACAAGCCGCTGGGCATAGACGAGCTGCCCAAGGAGTTTGCTGGCATGGATTTGGGAGCGGGTGGTGGAGCCTCGACAACCAGCGAGCACTCCTCGTCACTGCCTTCGCCACAGCCGTTGACACACCACCAGCAGCTGCATCACTTTGAGTCCTTTGACGCCGCCTCCGAGCATAATTTGCTGGCGCAGCCACTGTCGCCGGGATCACCGCTTTCGGGTTCCGTGAATCCCGCCGGCGATGACTTTGTGCAGATGCATCATTACCATCACGCTGCCTCCTCGCCGCACTCGCAATCGCAATCGCACTCGCACCATAGCCACGCCCATGGCCACCATGCGCACCATGCCCACTCGCACCACCAGCACAACCACCAGCACACCGCCTACCATGACCTGGCCCTCACCGAGGAGCAGTTCCGGCTGGGCTCGGCCCTCAAGCGGGTGCGCAAGCGAGCACGCAAGTACACCGACTTTCTGCGCAAAAAGTGAGCGATGGGTGGGTTATTAGAGGAGCCTACATCCTGCCCTACATCCTCATCCCCACAGATTCACCCTACTTTGGCCGCAAGTATCTGGTGGTCTCGAAGCGACGATCGCAGAGCCTGGACGAGGACTAGTTGTGTGGCGACTGGAAAAGCAATAGCAGCCGCTTGAGAACCATAATAACATTTAATTACAATTTGTACACTGCCAAAAAAGAAGGATGGAAATTAAGGTTAATTTTGTGCTAAGCCAAAGCTCTGTTGAAAGCGAGGATCACACACATAAGGACAACTAAGAACACTCGAGCACAGTGGGAAGGGTGGGTTTTTTTTAGGTATAGAAAAGGATAAAGGATATTGAAAGTAGGCTTTGGAAAATTTTTATAAATATTTATTTAAAAAAATACAGGTTTACAAATTAAGAAATTCAAGAAATTGTAATTATAATTAAAGTACAAGAGGTAAAACTTTGATTTGAAAAAGTTAAAACAATTTTAAATTCTTTATTTATTAAGGAAAAGGTGTAGCTATGATTTACTCACATTAAAACCAGATTTTCTTTGTTTTGATACAACTAAAATATTATATTTTTCATATTTTTTAAAGTAAATATTTTTAAAAATTTTCCCAAGCTTAATTTTCACATCTTTAATATATTTTCTATACCTAAAAAAAACCCCCTCACCACCAAAGCACAAAAATCTCACCCATACGAATCACATCTACAGCTACAAGATACAAGAGGAAGCAGAACAACGACTATTTTAAATAATGAAAAAAGAATTACTTAAGCTAACAGTGCGTATACATAATAAATACAAGAGATAGGTGCGAGGGGAGAACATTTGTATATTCAACTTATACATTAAGCGAAGGTTTTGAATTTGCATATTTAAATTGACTAAACCCATATACATAGTTAAGAGCCAAGGCAAATGGAAATAATAAAGCACACAAACACACACACCTACTCAAGCCTAGATGATAGTTAAACAAAAAAACAATACAAAAAAACAAACAAAAAAAATTAAAGAAAATGGAAAACAACCAATCTAACATACCAGTTAAAGCTAGCTATAAGGATGGATCAGATCGGAGCGGCGCCACAAGATTTAGAGTTTCAGCAACCGCAACTGCGACTAAGTAATAATAAATAATTAACCATTAATTAACAACAAAAACCAAGGCAAACGACAACAGCAACTGTAGTTTGGCACACACACACAAAAAAGAAGTTTAAAGTTTAAAATTACAAAACAAAAAGAGTTTAGATTACGCTGGAAGGGTGAGAGAGTTTTGTTATCATTTATTTGATATGCGCATATTTTTATGATTGAACGAGTTTCTTCAGGGACTGCTTGCGAATTTTGTAATAAAGCAATAAGCCGTTTTGCTCAAGGATTAAATACGTTTCCGTTTTCTTCCCCCCGCCACAACTCCCTTACAATTTTCTCAACTTCTCGCTCAATTTCGATGGAGAAATCACTTTCAATTTGCTCGGTTTCGTTTCAAGTGAAGTTAACCCCCAACAACTGTCTTCCAATTATACTTTCTAGTCGTCGTCGTCGTCGTATATCTCTGCAGCCTCTCAGTTGCTTTCGAAAGTTCAGAAATTCGAAAAAAAAAAACAGATAATGGATAAATAGATAAAGCCTAAATGTAAACTAAGCACTCCAACTTAATTTAATAGCCGTTGAATCAGACGTACCTTGCGTGAGAACAAAACGAGAAATTTGTACATAACTGCTGTTGATTAATTAATAACCTAATTTACGACTAACTAACTAACTAAATGGGAACTTAATTTGTAGTCTTTAGCCGAGGCGAATCATTATGAATTAGTGAACCGAAAATAATAAATATAAATGCACTGCCAAAAACAAAGGTTTTAAGTAAATGAACAACAAATAGAACGAAGTGGGGGAGCGGACTCCTCCTCCCTCCTCCGCAAACAAACAAATAAAGTTCACATACGAAAAAGTAAAAACTAAAAACCAAAATTGAAAAAAAACAAGAAAACTGCTGTAAATATAAGAATGAATACATATAGAGAAATCATAGACATTTTTTAATGGCACATTAATTAACGAGGAGCATGCAATTTGCAGATTTTTTACATTATATTTTAATGAACTAAGCGAGAAAAAAAAACAATAATGAGTTTAATGAAATGACGAAACCAAAACTGAAAACTGAAAATTAAAAAGCAAAACAAACGAGTTAAATGCCAAGCGGCCGCGCGATTTTGTAACAAAATCAAAAGACAGAATGTTAACATTGCGTAAAGTTAAAAAAAAAAACACAAACACAAAAACATAAACATAAACATAAAAAACAAACGACGAGACACAACAAACAAAAAACAAATAGAAAAAGGCGAAAACTAGAACACGGCACCGGAAACTGAAGCTGAAGCTGAAACGGAAACGGAAAGGACTTTTGGTTGTGAGTTCGATCCGATGGTCATACGTTGTGTGCACTACTTCTAACTGTAAATAACAGATCAGATCCGTAACAATTAGCCGTAAATAACACTCACACACACACACACACAGACACTGACAGAGAGATTATCCAGTAATAGGAAAACAGACTATGGGAAATAGCCAAGCCCAGGCGGCTTTACCTTTTTAACATTTAAAGTTCACGTAGCGAAAGGACACAAAACTTACCCAGATGATACCCTTACCCAGATACTTGGAGTGTAGGGGGAAGATTTGACAACTCGACAAAGGATAATCACATACACTGCAAGAAAACCCCAAAGCCAGCTGCAAGAATTAGCGAGAGATGCCGTTTGACAACACACATATAAATATATAAATATATATAGCAGAATTAACACAATTAACAATTACACATTATCCCCTAGCGGTTATTTGTACAACGTTTTTTTTTACCTACAAGTATTTGTACCTTAGTTTTGTGTGGCTCGGATTGAGCGGCGTTCTAGCATTTGTCATAGCCACATATATAGTTGTGTACATAACTAGTTAAAATTGTGCATACAGAACGGTTATCTTAAGTATATAAATACACGCAAAGGTGAATGTTAGAGAGGCCAGGAACAGAAACAGATACATTTACAGATACAGAAACAGACTTGACACGGACACACCACAATTCTCTGATGCGATCCCAGTTGAAATGGATGGCTGGCAATGCGAAATAATAATTATATTATTAATATACAACAATAAACTTGAACCTAGGTATATGATTCTGAATTTAAATAATTTTTAGTAAATCAGAACGACAAGCAAAGAAACCAAAAGCAAACGGAAGAAGAACGAAAGAAACTCTAAAACACTTGAATGAAATTAAAAGACAACTTATTAAAAATACAACAAAAAAAAATAAAAGAAATTGATGAATTAAGTAAAGTAAATTGCTCAATTTAGCAGAGAGTATAAATAAAGAATTATACGTTAAGTAATAATTTCAAAATAAAACAAGCGTGTGTTTCATTGAAGCGATAGTTATCGATAAAGCGGAAGTCCCTGCTCTGCGCATGTCCTGGCCAAGTGTCAAATTTTAGGTGACAGCTCTCTCTCTCCCTCTAAGCTTCAAGTGTATATACTTTTGGACCAGCGATGGGGTGTGTTAGCGAGATGCAAATTTGCGAAATGAAAACTTTAAACGTTTAAAATGCTGACCGCACTGCGTCGGAAAATTCGGTTCGGTATGCAGCGAACGGTTCTCATTGCGGTCCTGCTGGCGGTGGGCATTTTCAGCTACGCCTTCCTCAACCTCAAGTTCTGCTTCAAGTTAATGTCCCACAGGAGCCTTAACCTTATGGTAAAGTCTCTTTTTTCTTATTAAAGTAAATAGTTTTAATTGCTATAATTTTTAATAATTAGTGCCAGAAATTCGAAAAGCATGAGTACAGCGGCTCTCTTTGCGAGGAACTCTGCGGAGCCCAATCTTCCTTCGACAACTTCCAGTGTCCTTTGAATGATATGAAAACTATACTCTTCACGGCCGAGAAAAACGGTGATATGTATGCGGTGAAGGTAGGTCGGGTTTTGCGGCTTCATGTTGTCATGACTACAATGTAATTTAATCTTCCTTTGTTTATATACCAGCTGGCCCGGCATAATGACGACGAGCTGAGCTGGACCAACAGCAAGGGAGAGTCCATCTATCCAAAGCTAGAAGAGTTCCATGAGATTGTCAAGCTGCATATCATTTTGGCCTATAATGTCACACTGGATGATAATATGGTAAGATAGGAGGAGGGAGTTAAAGGGTTCCTAAGTAATATTTTTAGGATTACAATTTATTTAATACTTATTTCAATTTTTAAACTATTTTATTCCCATTTTAGATCCGCGCTTTGGTCAACCAGGAAATAGCCGATGATAACTCCCAGCAAATGGTCAGTTTCTGGCGGCTCTTCAAGGACAACAACTATATGATGGGCAAACTGTTCGATGAAGAATCCATTTTCCCAGCTGTCCTAGGTTCATGTGGACCCTACTATGCCACTGAGGGATTGCAGATTGTCCAGTCCAATCCCAGTATTATGCAGTATCTGTAAGCAATTTTAATTTCTCTGCATTACTTTCAAATTTATTTATTTCATAAAAACCCCCTATAGAGCCTCCAATCGCTTGCAGCGCCTGAAGCACGCTCTCAACATCATGGAATACATTTTCCGGCTGGATGAAATGAAGCCGGAACCCCTGAAGATGTGCAAGATGCAGGTGAATCGCTTTGGGACCACGCCGGAGCGCCGGCTCAAGTACCAGAGCGCCGAACATGTGTATGTGGAGAGCCAACTGGACAAGAGGCTGTCGCGGGGCGTCAAGTGCCGCACTAGCCAGGACTGCCACTTCCACTCCTGCCGTGGCATGTGCGATGAGGCCAAACACTCCTGCACGCACATCCAGCAGAATAACAACTTCCAGATATTCTGCGAGCACGTCCTCCTCGGCGGCGGCACCTTCCAGCCGGGCCTGCTGAGTGGCGTCCGTCTCTCGAAGGTCCTGCAAAAGCTGGTCAAGATGTGCGTCCAGCCACCTCCTGAGCATCAGGTTCCGGGACGCCAGCAGGCGCCCAATATGCAGCTTGCCCTGCGAGTCTACAATGAGCTGAAGCAGCTGCATCAGGCGGCGGCCACAGCAGCGGGAACCGAGATCACCGACGAGGGACAGGCACAGCGGGGAGGTGCCTAAAGTAAGCGAGGCTCTGGGAACTAGTAGAAGATGTAGAGAGTAGATCAATTGGCGCACAGCAGCTTTGCTCAAAACTGAATAGCATTTTTACTGATAGTCTTAAATTAATTAAAATCCAAATAAAACAGAAAATGCTTTTTATTAACAAAATAAAACTTAATTTTAAGTCTTTTTTGCCTAAGTAAGTGAGATGGAATTTTGTTGCAACAGTGCAATATAGCTTTTTGATCCTCAAATCGTTAAAATTGTCCATTGCCCGATTTCGTATAACAGGTAAACAGAAACAAGGATAGCATGCCGACACTGTTATAAACTGTTATAATTTATTTTATGTAAGTATTCAAATGTGTACGTCTATTTGCCCAAAACATTTCCACAACAACAGTAGGCGACCGAAAACTGTTATAAACTGTTATAAAAACGTTTACTTTTGGGCTTACGTAAAAAAATGTATACGTATGAAGTTAAACAAGAAAGAAAGCTAACTTTGGCCAGCCAAAGTTTGTATACCCTTGCAGGTAAAATATATCATAACTAAGCCAAAAATGCATTAATTTCGATTCGGAAAGCAGTTTTGTGTTAGTTTTATTAATTTAAAAAAACTGCATACCAAATTTAAAATTTTAAGAAATCTAAATTTTTGGCCATTTTTACTAATTTTAATGATGTAACCCCTTATCAAATTTCTCAAAAATGGCCAAAAAATCGATTTCTTCCGGACATGTCTAGAAAGATTCGCATGTTAATGCTGATCAAGAATATATATGGTTTATGGGGTCGGAAATGATTCCTTGACTTAGAAAAATATTATTTTGTATTATAAAATCTGATTTTTTATATTAAAAAACTTCTTGATTTTTTTTAAATTAAAACAAGAAAGGAAGCTAACTTCGGCACGCCGAAGTTTCTATACCCTTGCAGATATTATTTCATTACATTTTACCTACGTATACTTATTATGTTTACAGTTTGACAGTTACAGTTTTGCATTCCCAGCTTTATATTTTATCTACATCTACCGATCGTTTATATGGCAGCTATATGATATAGTTGTCCGATTTTTATAAAATTCGTACCAAAATTCTGAAATAATAAAATAAGACTATATCTCAGAGTAGATGAAAATACGTTGAAAAACAACGAAGTTATAATTTTTTTTCTATTAATTTCCTGATCGTTCCTGTGGGTGCTATATGATATAGTCGTCTGATTTTCATAAAATTTTTACCAAAATTCAGAAATAATATAAAATGGTCATATGTAAAAAATAGTGCACATATGTTGAAAAACAGCTAAGTTATAATTTTTTTTCTAAAAATTTATTGAACATTTGTATGGCAGCTATATGATATAGTCGTCCGATCCGGCCCGTTCCGACATATATAGCAGTGAGAGCATATAGAAGACTATATGCAAAGTTTCATTCAGATAGCTTTAAAACTGAGGGACTAGTTTGCGTAGAAACAGACAGACGGACAGACAGACAGACAGACAGACAGACAGACGGACAGACGGACAGACGGACAGACGGACATGGCTAGATCGACTCGGCTGTTGATGCTGATCAAGAATATATATACTTTATAGGGTCGGAAACGTCTCCTTCACTGCGTTGCAAACTTCTGACTGAAATTATAATACCCTGCAAGGGTATAAATATCACAACTCGGCCAAAAGAGCATTAATTTTAAATCGGAAAACTGTTCTGTGCAAGATTTTCTACAGTTAATAAATCTGCATACTTCATTTTAAAATTTTAAAAAATCAATTTTTTATCAAAATCAAAAATTTTAATGATGTAACCCCTTTTAAAATTTTGCAAAAATGACCAAAAAATCGATTTCTTCCTGACATATCTAGAATGATTCCCCTGTTGATGCTGATCAAGAATATATATACTTTATAGGGTCGGAAACGTCTCCTTCACTGCGTTGCAAACTTCTGACTGAAATTATAATACCCTGCAAGGGTATAAAAATACGCACAAGTGGACTATTATCATATTATAGTGCATCTTTTTGGCTGAATTACATTTATAAAATATACGAAATATGTTTAATATATAACACAATATTATTTAAAGTTGTTACTTTATGAAAAATATGGAAAACAAAAGGTCGAATTCTACATGAACCCAACTCATCTCTTTACATCTACATCAACCCCAATTGACAATACTTGCCTGTATGAAACCCAATTTTACAAGTAAAAACCAAACATCAGGGCTGGAAAACACCTCCCCCTAGCTGACAAGAAGCTGACTGATTCAAAACGACCTCGTTTCCTTTGAGTATGTTAAGTTTATTCAGCTACTTTTCGCTTTATTATTTATTCACTTTGAAAATTGTTAAATTCAGATTACATGCTTTGTTTTTGGTTACATACAATTTGCATATTGATTTCTGGATATATATTTATATTTTTTTTGCTTGCAGCCCGCGTCCGGCCGAATGTTGATCTCGAAGCGGCCATATATTTCCCCGAGGGAAAAGTTGGCCAGCGGCTAATGGCTAATGGCTCTATTCTGTTCGCTTACTTGGCTAAAACACAGATTAACACGTTTGTTTGTTGTTTACTTCATGTCACATTATGTAGTATATGTAAGTATATATTTATATTTATATTTAGTTAGATTAGATTAATTAAGATAAACTAAAACACACATTTCAATTACACCACAATTATCTAGAATTTCGACGGGGATTCAAGTACAACAATTAATTAATCGGTAAGTGCCGTATATATTATGTATGTAAATGTAATCGAAAAGAATATAGATTCAGATTCAGATTCAGTATGTTACATGTTGTTTGTGTGAGTTGATTAGCTCTATTTTAGTGCAAAAATGTAGAAAATGTTGCTTGTGGCTTAGTTCTCTTCTCACTGTGCGCTTGCTTGTCCTCCGATCCGATCCGTTGCGATCCTTTAACATTTAATTACGAATTATGCTTGTTTGCCGGAGGTTCGTTTCACAAATTTGTTGTAAAAAAATACATTTCATGCTCGCTTCCTACACATTTAGCTATGCTAAATCATTATTGTTATTCATCTTTGCCTTGATATATATTCAAATTGCATTCATGTTCCAGACTGTAAAGTGTTAAGAGTGGGTGCTGCTTTCAAAGAGAGAGACTGAGACTGAGACAAGATTCAAGAGTATATTCTGTGTGTGTGTGAACAACCGCTTAGTAACTTCCGTCTCGTGCTTTTTACATTTTAATTTTCTTTTTTTGAATCATCAAATCCTGGTCCAGTTAAGTTACTTTGCTTAAGGGAAACACGCATTAATATCTGACTGACTGACTGACTGACTTATCATCGTATGCTACACTATACATTATCCTTACTGCCTCCTTTGTCCTGCTTACCAACTAACAATAACGCACAGACGACACCAAGGGGAGAAATATGCTTCGAAAAATCAGCTTGGCTTAGTTGTTATCTTTGTTTTTTTTTTAAGGTATTGGGGTTCCATTTCTTACAAGCTATTTATGAGAAAAGTAACTGAAAAAAAGGAAAACAAAATGAAATTACAACTGAGCAAGCTCTTGTTTTTTTATTACTTTTTTTGGGCTTTAATTAAAATTAAAATTAAGAGGATAGACTTATCGTGTTTCTGGTTTTTGATTACGTTTAAAGCTTACATAGTTTATTTTGTAAAACATAAAGTACAAAGACGTTGATTTGCATTGCATTCATAAAAACTAAAGTTACGCTTAAATTATTTCACGAAGTTGCACGAATCTCGGCTTAAATTATGATTAACATTTAGCAGTTTAACTAAAACTAGTTACCGAACTAAGGCTAGAATAGTTGTATACCCCTTACTCTGCGTTTACGAAACGAAAAATGTGAATTGCTTGTTTGATTCTGAGTAAGTTTGCGGCTGCCGTTCGTAATTGAATTAATCTGATATTAAATGAAAGTAAAAGTAACAGCAAGAAAGTCTCTAAATTAAGTTAAAAATGCACACAATGTAGTTGGTATTCTTGAGCATATAATACTTGGGCGTTTCATATACACATAAAACCGGAAACGGAAACGAAAACAAACAGAAAAGAGAAACAAAACTAATACAGAACGGAAACGGCTCAAACTAGGTACTTAAATGTAGGCTCAACGCAGGTTTTATATCGAAATAAATAAATTACAATTACAAGTAACATACAAATTAGGATTGAGTGTGTGTGTATGTGTTTGTGGGTGTGTGCAGTGTTTGTGTTGTGAGGCGCAAAAACGAAGAGTAAACAGACGCACAGACGGAAAACGAGTGCGAGGCAAATGCTCAACACTTTTGCCCCAAAAACACATTACAATATCATATATTTTCTCATACTTTCGTTTGTTTGTTGTTCTTGCTTGATTTTGCTTCTTGCTTTTCTCTTTTTGCTTTTGCATTTGGAATTTGGAATTCTTCCCTAGAACGCGCGCGTTGTCGTCGTTCACTTGTTTTTGGTAGACAGGGGATTGGAGAGCATAAAGATGAGGTCGTTCTGCTGCTGCAGGATCTTATTCAGCATATCCCGCCAGCCCGCATAGCTCTCCTGCGTCGCTGCCTGGCAGATCATTGTGACCTCTGGTATTTTGTTGGGGTCCGTTGACTTGATCTGAAAGCGGCAATCGCCCAATTCCTTCATTTGCATGTGATTGAGCTGCGAGAAAAGAGATATTCAACATTCATTATCTTAATAAATAAAAAGGGTACCATTTTCCCTCACCTGTATGTGCGATCTGTATTTGAATGTGGGGCTGGAGTACTGATTCTTTGCCTTCTCAATGTCCGCAAAGATAATGATCTGCTGGAAGAGGAACACTTGCAGCTCACGCTGCTTCTGTCCCGCATCCACCACACAGTTCATGGGTCCCTGCATCAGCAGGCTACCTTGGGCGGTGATCTCTCCATCAAAGTCTTGAAGACTGCGCAGCACCACCATCATGTCGTTGACCGTCTTTACAACCACCTTCATTTGCTGGTAGGCCTCTTGCAGCATGGGCACCTCCTTGTAAAGGCCAGCACCCTCGGTGGCCTTGATGATCTCCTTGATGAGCAGCTCGTATTTGGTGATGCGCTGAACGGGCTTGATGATTAGGTTGCTCAGCTGAAAATACAAAAGTTTGTAGAATTAAATTAATATTTTCTTCTGGCTTATAATCCATAATTCAAACTTACATCCAGGCGATGTCCCAGCTTCTGGCGTATGCAATCAAAATACTGATAATGGGCGCTGACTATATATTCGGACAGTGGCTTATTACTGCAATAGGTGTAGTACAGGGCGAATTTGGTGGCTGAGCGCTTGATCAGCGGTCCCAAATCCGCTGGTGACTTTTGGCAGTTGCGCAGGGCCCTCAGAAAGAAGCTGGGAATAAAAGAAAAATTAAAAAAAAAAATTAATAATAAAGTTGCTGTTAATATTACATTCAAACTTACTCCCTGTGCCACTCGTAAATGTCTTTGATGTTGTTGAAGACCAACTTCATTTTGCCGCCCTTTAAATCCTCGGGCATGGGAATATCACTGTTCGTGTTGTTGATCTCTGACATGTAACTGGAGAAGAGGAAAACCAAAATAAAATAAATCTATAGTTACCTTAAAAACCTTATAAAAGTGGTCTTACCCATTGACAATCTCATGCAGATCCTGTACATACGACTCCTCCGTGGACACTAACTCCGCAAAGACACACTGCCTTTTCTTCAGAGCCGCAGCTTTGTCTGGGACAGCACTGTGACTCTATGATATAAATAATATAAAATAAATAAATATATAAAATTTAACCGCTACAAAACTCACCTCTTCATGGTTGTTGTCATGAGAGCGACCGTGGCCATTGGTGCTGGCATTTTCCGCTCCTCCACTGCCATCCACACGACTATTAGACTCGTGTTGTTCCTGTTTTAAAGTGAAAGGGAGGAAAAGGGTTAGTGGGCTCTCTCTCGGTCTTGGCCAGGACCAAAAGCACTCACCGTTGTCGTCTTGACAATTTCCTCAATTTCCGATAGTGGATTGCCGTCCATTTTGCCAGTGCTGGCCTGCAAGGACACACAAAAGGGGGGGAAAAGGAAATTCAATGATGGTCGGGTCAAATACATAATGAGAAAGTTGCATCCTCTGGGCAGCACCGATTATTGCATTATCCCCTCGTGCAGGCGGCTAATTGAAAAAGTTTCTCCCCCCGCTGGAAAATGAATTGCCATTGCTCTCCTGCAACTTGATTCAATATCTCTCCCGCCTAAGCCTAACAATCTATATTCCCAACTAATGAAAATGGCCAGAAAATTGAATAAACGATGAATTCAATCAGTACGAGAATACAAATACGAGTTGAGTGTGTGCTTTTATCATTTTGTGGCAATTTTCAAAATAAATATGTATATTCTAGACGGTTGGTTGCATGTTCAGCGCGTATATTATTGAATCACTCGCTTATTTTCGTTTCCCACTCTCGGGCACCGCAATTAATTTCAGTTATTTTCGCTATTTTCGTTGCCGTTGCATAAATAACAAACTTAACCAAACGCAAACACAAGCCACAAAAGCCACATTCGCACGCATACGCGAGAGACTCTTGTTGATTTTACTAAATTTATAACATAAATTTGCTTTAGTTAATGGTGAAAAGTTTGCCCCCAAGCCAGTAGATAGTAGATAACATTGTATAACTAGAAGCGATTCGAACTGTGTGTTTCTTGGGCAAAACTTTCCATTACTTTATAAGGGTGTACACTTGAAAAAAGGCAGTGAAGGTGTTTCATATTAAAGATATATAATTTCTCCTTAGTTATAGGAAGAAGTATTGGTATTTGAACATTGTTTTAAAGCAGAAAAGTTTATTTTCAAGACATTAATAATAATTTATTGATCCAAATTTACCAAGTTCTTGCCAGTATTATTAAAAAATGTTTAAAAATCGTCTTTCAAAAATAATAATCTATTATTGATTAAAAATGCTTTATAGGTAGAAAATCTTATTTTCCAGATAAAATGCCTGAAATACTTGCAAGTTATTTAAAAAATTGTTAAATATAATACATTAAATAGTGCAAATTGTTGTAATTTAATTTTTATCTCATAAAATTAATAAGAAAACTTAGTTCGGGTAGCTAAAATTTGTATTCTTTGCAGTATACCATATGACCATGGCATCAAATCAAAAATCGATCATAACTTAGCCAAAATAACATCAAATTCAATTCGGAAAGCTTTTTTAAGTTAGTTTTTAATAGGCAAATAAATCTGCATACAGAATTTAAAAAATTTTAAAAATCGAAATTTTTCGACAATTTTAATGATGTAACTAACCCCTTATCGAATTTTGAGATTTTGAAAAATTTTCGAAATTTTTGTTTTTTAGCGAAACATAGCTGGATCAATTTGGCTTTTGATTCTGATCAAGAATATATATGATTTAAGGGGTCGGAAATGGCTCCCTTACCGTTTAGCAAGCTTCTGACTAAAAATATGATGTATATCTTTATACATTTATTAAATATTATATTAAAAATATTACTTTATATCTCTAACTTAACTCTCTTAAACTAACAACACTAAACACACATCAAAAATGTCTAAAAACGATTAAAAGTTCCTTTTTTAATTCCAGAAAATTCGTAGCTGTTCAATTTCCACCTTAGATTCACGATTCACAGGGCGCAATTTATACACAAATATATATACATTTTTCTTTTCTTTTTTTTTGCGCGATAAGATTAAGTACGGTCAGCTGTTTGGGCTTGGCGAAATTTTTAGAATTTGTCATCGGAATGGGAATCGAAGAGGTTGATAATAACAAAAGGGATTCTTGCACACGCTATATTACAACACGAAGCAATGCAGCTTACAAATAAACGGAAAAAGCAGCTCATGGCACGTGTTGCTTAAAATTCCCAGCGCACAGTGGATGTTTTCTTTGCTTTATTTGTTGTTGTTGTATTTCCCTTTTCCTTTTATAGGAAACTGTCTTTCAAAAACGAATTAAATGCGGCCTTTATAAGGACTTTGCGACGGCGACGCATTTTGGCAATGCGAAACCGACAAACCGAGAATCTCGAGAGGCGAAAAGCGAAACGCGACTGAGCGCCGAGCGTTGAGCAAAGCGACTGGCTGACGAGCCTAATAGTTTCGCCTGTTGCCCAGCATGTTTTACATATGTAGGCAGTCAGCCAGGCACCCTTCTTGCCCCACCCACTTCTATACACCCTCCCTACCCAAAATAAAACAACAAACCCACCCACCCATGGGAGAGTGCTTCCTCCTTGCCCCCTTGCGACATCGAAAAGAAACTCTCAATCAACGCTTCGCCAACAATTTCGTCGCAGTCACTTGAGGAAAAGCGTTGAAATAATTGTATGGCACACATATAGTATCGAATGAGCGAAAGCTAAACAGAGAGATATGGCGATGATATAGGCAAAGACCTAGAGAGTAGGCCCCCGGGAGAGGTATCAGGCTGAGGGAGCCCTCTTTGTATTCCCCGTGTGTAGCTTTGCTTTGCAATGCTGTTGTTGTTGTTGCTATAAATTCTTAAATACATAAATTAATTCGCATTTTGCGGTAGCGAAAATGTTCTCGAAGAAGCTAGCGAATCGACAAGGAAATACCTCCGGATATATTATTCTGCAAATTATATGTGAAACATAAATTTTAAAGGGAACTTTTGTGGGAAAGAAGATTGAGATTTTTCAGGGTTTTTAAAGAATTTGATTATAAATTTGGGACTTTAGCAGAAGCTAAAGAAAAAGTTTAAAGATTGTACTTATAATTTATTGTGTTTTTGGTAAAAAAAATTGTTTGCAATTGTTTTTGAAAAGGTTAATGTTTCCTGATTTTATCATTATAATTATCCTATAAAAATATCAATTTATATAGATCGAAAGAGCTTATTTAATCAATTTAATGAAATGAGTATAGAGCAAACTAGAAGGCAAACTTTGGCTTTAAAAAGTTACGTTTTTTCTATTGTTTTTACTTCGATTCCTTTTTTCTTAGCCATATGCAAATGTTAAAGATTATACCAAAATGTAGCAAATATTGATAAAACACTAAAGCTCATATAGAACAAATATTATTCATAGAACAAAAAGAGTCACCTAAGGCTTCCTAACAACTGACCTACTTTAAAGTACGGGCTAATTGCTGGGGATTCCTCATACTCTAGATTTCTTTTGCACAAAGGAAGTCTGATATCAGAGGACAATGAGTTTTACATTAGAATTTCATCAGCGGACGGCTACAAAAAAAAAAAGTAAAATAAAAACAGCGACTAAAAGGAACGGCAATAAAAACAACAAGTGAAGGAAAGAACAATAAAAAAAGCGAAGTAAAACAAAAACATCTAAAAGGAACAACAGTCCAGCCACGTACCCACGCAATGACGTACACACGTCTAAGTGGTGTGACATTTAATTAGCCTGTTCGAAAACAGGAGGGGGTGGTGGGGACTTGCAGCAACTGATGTCACACAAATATACAAACAGTACATATACATACATATATAGTATATAGACCACTCACAAAGGGCGCGAAATTCGACAAGGAGAACTATTAAAAATTAATGACAATGCAAATAGGCGGGCTAAACAAAGGTGGCTCAAGGAATAAGGCCAAGACCCCAATGCCAACTGTGCCAAAAAGTTAAGGCGACAAAAAACAAAAAGAGAGATACAGCAGAACGGTAACCTAACTGGGTTAAGAACTTCGCACCCAGGCAAAAAAAAAAAATACAGAGTATAGAATTTGCAAACAGGAAAAAATACAATTAAATGTTGACGCATCAAGGCAAAACAACTTGCACACAAGGCAGCCGAAAATTTACATGGCTAGCGAATTTGGCTAATAAGCCATCATCGCCATCATCATCATCAGCAGCGTCGTCTTCGTCGTCGTCGTTTGAATAGAGAATATAGAGAACTCGGTACGGACCAGACCAGACCAGACCAGACGACATTCAATTTATTGACGGACAAAGTGGCCATAGCGATGGCGACGCTCTGGCGACGGACACCACATCGCACATCGCTCGGAATATGGATGCGAGACAACTGAATTAGGGAGCTCTCCAAACAGCGTCGAACCGAAACAAATCATTAATCAAATTGAAGGGGGGAGCCACCCAGGCAAACTTTAAAGCCACTAAATAAGAGGAGAGTGTGGGAATTTGCACTTTAAAAATATGCAGAAATTGGGAAAAGGGGAAAATGTAGAGAGCACTTTTAAAGAATATTTCTAAATATTTTTAAATGAAATAAAACTATCAGATTTTTAGAGAAGAGTATAAGAAACAATTAAAGACTTTTATAAACAGTTTTCAAGTGAATTCTTATTAGTGTTTATATCTAAGAATTTTAAAAAGTGCACAGCAGCCTGATTATGCCATGAATTTCTATAATCAGGCAGAGAAAGAAGAGAAAATTAAAAAGGGAAAGGACTGTTTTGTCATATTTAATGCCAGAGCATTTTATTCAAATTAGAAAAATAGAGACAAAGATGGTAGAGAGAGGGGAAACTAAAAGTGGCTTTGTTCTAGCTAGTGAGTCCTGCCTCCTCTTCTTGTTTAAATATTACCATTTCAGCCAGGCACTTTTGATTGGCAGTAAAGCATCTGAAAATATTCCTACAATTTAATGGAAATTTCCTTGAATTAAATGTTTACTGATACTTTACAAATTAAAAGGAAATTTATAGAATTTAAATTCTAATGTCATTTCATTTTAAAAGTCTTATTTAGCTAATTTGTTTTTAGCTCTATGACTTAATCCCCATGCGTACGACTATCTATCAACTTTAATGGGCAAATTCAAGCTCGATTTTCTTTGCTTAATTTATTGCCAAGCACCCACTGCATCGAATTCTGCATAATTTAAGGCCAAAACATTCCCAAGCACATGAATCAGCGCCAGCCAGACTCATTGCCCGTGTATCCTTTCCCTGTAATTTGCTCTCAAAAGTACCAATCGAGTGGAAGTCCCAACGCCCCCTACCCACACACTCACGTCACAATCATCCGACAAAGTCTACGGCTAATTTGACTGTCGAAATTTATGCGTCGTATCTGCGAGTGCGAGTATCTTAGTATCTGTATCTCTCTGCGCTGCGGTCTGTTCTGTTCTGCCTCGGAATCTCTCCTGCTCCGTGGGTAAACAAAATAAAGTGGCGCATTTATGGCAAAGGTGGCTGGCCCCGGAGTACAAAAAGGAGGATCCCACACCAAAAATTGAGCAGAATGTGTGTGTGTGTGTGAGTGTGTGAGTGATGCTATGCTCTCTAATTGAGCAGAGCCCGTGCTCGGATTGCCGATGACGTCGATGAAGAAGAGTCGGTCGGGCCAAAGTCACAATAAACCGCTTTGATTTGTGTGGGAAACACATATTAGAGGAGCTAGCTGCGTGCTAAGCAAACAAACTTGGGCCATGCCGAGTGGGTGGCGACGGATTTGGGCGAGGGGCCACTGGGAATATCATTCACGGTAGGGTGGTTCGAGTTTTGTAATGATAAAATAATTAGAGTAGAACATATTTTAGATCATTCTTTGAGTCTTTAAATCTAATTTTAGGAAATTGTGTAGTAAAATCTTTAAAGATATTTAGAACATTTTCTGAATAATATTTTAAAAGCTATAAATTTAGTAAATTTTTAATATTTAAAAAACAAAGTAGAAGAGTAGATATTTTTCCAATACCAAAATATATTTAAAACATCTTTAAGAAGTTAAAAAACCTTATAAAATTATAAATTAACTTCTTTTAGCCAAAGCCAAATGTGCCTTAAATGCGCCACTTTTATGATTTTTACCCTAAAAACAGAAAAATTCATTCCACAAATTCTTTAAAATTATTTTTCAACCTAAGCTTCTTATAAAATCTTTCTTCAGAAATTTCTAGTTTTCAAAATTTTCAACTTTGCTCCACTAAAAAAATTCTGATTTGCTGTTCTAAAAGACCCACCCTTCTTTAACTCCTTTGGGAAATCTTTACAAATCCATGACGGACTTGGAAACTCACCAAATTGGCCGAACTCTCCTTGGCATCCTTAGTAAATGCGGGCGGTCCATTGGCAATCAGGTGCGGCTCCTGGATGGGCTTCATGGGCGGCGGCAGCTCCAGTCCAGCCTCCTCATCCGGCTCATAGTCCCCGGCTCCGACGTTACTTGAGGGGAATTGCGAGGACGGCACCACGGTGGCGGGGCTGCCACCTGGCTGATGCTGCTCGGCCAGCTCCTCGGCATGCTTTTGCGGTGTCTGAGGGGATGGGGGAAAACATCAAATGTTATAAATAAACGCTCACGCTCGTTAAACGCGAGTGGCACCACACACACACGCAGCACACACTCGACGCTACTCACTCTGATGTTCTTCTCCGAGGGCTTCTTCACCAGCGGCGCCTTGCTGTTGTTGGGCTGCTGTTGCTTGCGATTGATCAGCGGCAGCCAGTTGCGCCTGCAAAGGAAACAAAAAAAAAAAATCGACAGTTAAATGACAGTTGGCAGTGATACTTTCTCGAGATTCTACAGGAACTTGCGAATGGTGGTTCTGGTGTGCACGAATTCCTCCATCTCGTCACGCCAGCGTCATGATAAATAAAAGTGAAATAAAGCGAAGTGCTCGATGGCTGTCCAGCTGCGTGGCCAACATCAGACTGTCGCCAGCATCGGCTGCTAACTTGGCCAACCAACCGCCGCCTGCTGTTCGAGTGTCGCCGTTTGCACAGTGTGTCGAAATTTATTCGCCTCCCCAAAACCCAAACCCCATTTCCCCCCTTTTTGATTTTCCTCTTTTCAATCGTTTTATGATTCTACAATTTTAAAGCCAAATTTCCGCTTATTTCGTTTTCATTCCGCTTTTTATGCCTCAAGTTTTTTACCGCATTTGCCGTAAAAAGAAAGGAAAGTATACTTATATTTATTCCTTTCAACGCTCCTTTGATTAATTTGCAGGCAGAGCAAAGTTTATGGGTCAAGTTTCGACTTTTTGTGATGTCATTAATCAGCAGCTGGCTCGGCTTTCAAGGGGAGGTTGGGAAAATCGAGGACTAAGTGAACATTTTGTGGTCAGTGAAAATGCAGTGCACAAACCGCAGAAACCACCGTCAGGCAGCTTTGTTTAAATATGCCATGCATAAAATATTAATTAAGCTTAATTAATCGGCAAACTAGACCCTTAAAACGCTTCGAAAATCGATTTCAATTAAACAAAACACAAAAAGAGCGGAGAGTAAGTCATCTGTGGGAGTGAAGTGGAGGACCCAATGGCATGTAACATAATTCAAAGTAAAAATAAACATTGACACAGACAACGACCACAGGCAGGGACGCGCTTTTCGAGGCTACTGCAGGATGGAAGCGAGGACTACGACTAGGACTAGGACTGGTCAGCCAAATTAAACGAGACTGGCTCAGTTCCAGGAATTGTATTTAATTTATTATGAGCTTGTTCACGTTCAAAATTCATTTGGCTGATGTAATGTTTTGGGCAAATAACCAAAGTGTCTTTTTTAGCGTGTGTTTGTGTGTGTGTGTGTGTGCGCATTAATGGGGTCGCCGCAAAGTATGCAACAAAGGCTAGCCGGTAATTTTTGCAGTTTCCGTATCCTGTTGTCCGAATACAATAGTTTGCACGGTGACAAATAATAGTTAGGTACTGTACTTGAATGTCTGTCTGTACTTGAATTTATATTAATAAAAAATATTTAAAATTTAAATTTGGAAATATTACAGATTTTAAAACAACTTTAGGGACTTTTTAAAATTATTTGTTCAAAATGAAAAGCTGAGCTAAGCTTCTGGCCTACAAAAATCAAAGAAAATTGCTCTAAAAATTATTTAAAAAAACTATTAAACATTGACTTTTTGTTTTAAGAATTATATCTTCATAGTTTAAGAATAATTTGTAATATACAACTTTTAATCTACACAAAAAGTAATTGCATATAAAGGCTAGACAATTAAAGAAATATTTTTTATATAATAAACTACTTTATCTATGTATTTTAATATATATAAAATATTTCTATTGGTTTAAAATATCTAAAAAATATCTAAATTACTATACATTCTCCCAGTGCCTCCCATATCTCTCTCTATCTTTCCTGGTTCAATACCAATACCAATGAAAGGCCCTAGTCCTTTTAGTTCATTGGACTTGGCCAGCACACGCTGCTAAGCAGGGACACCACACTTCCCCTTACCTAATCCGTTGCCTAAGTCCGCTCCTGCCCTGCCCTACCCCGAATCCCTTTGCATATGTCCGGGACAAACACACGCGCATATTGACACAGTGCTTGAGACAAAGAGTCCTGACCAAAGTGACAGCCGGGGAAGTGATGGAAGTGGAACTGGAAGTGGCGGGTGACTCGAACAATAATCTATATTCATGTTCGGCAGGAGGACTAAGGAGCGAAGAACGAAGAGGAACTACCATCACTTAATGCTCACTCGAGTGAGCCAGCAGCAAACAAAGAGCCCAATTAGTGGGCAAATATTGAAAGTGTTGTTGTGCAATTTTCACTGGGGAACAAGAAGAAACGAAAAGGAAAAAAACGAGTACAAAATAGTTCCCAGGAGAACTTGCTGGGTATTTTCCCTAAGGCTAAAGCCAAAAGCGATAAGATTCTTAAAAAAAAATAATGAAAATAAAAAGTAAATACTACATATTTCGCCTGAATGTGTAATTTATAGATATTCCGCATTATCAAAACAAATCAGAAATCAATCAGAGAGCCACAATGCCGCTCTCTCCCTCTCTGTCTCTATCGACGTTTCTTTATATTTTGCGGTCCCACATTGCGTATGATTAATACGCATGGCCGCCTGTTATCGTTCAACTTCTTCCTGGGTCTGGCTTTATCTTTCATATTCACAACTAATGACGAAATGCTGACTAAGAAAGGACAAAGGAAAAATCATAATTCAACCTCTATATAAGTAAGATTCACCCCAAATCAAGTAGAAATAAACTTTAATCGGTTGCAATGAGCTTTGCACAACAGGTTTTCGATCGAAGTTGTATTAGATAATTGCACGATTATATAGTAAATGCCGGTTGGGAAAAACGAAACCGGTTGCCAAGCTATACTTTTGTGTTTGGGGTAATTCCCTATTTACCTACAGCTATTAACATTCGCATTGAGGGGAAGAAAACACAGAGGGTTCTTTTGATTTTGGTTATATTTGTTGTTCTCAAAAAAATAAATAAATAAAAAGAGCAAGCGGAAACACCACAACAAAAATCACCAACAAAATAAATAATTCCCCCAGCGTCTCGAGTCTGAAAAGATAACACTGTGTCTGGGGAAAATCCAACGATAAACCTTCTCACATTTATCTCACCCAAAAACCTAAATGAAGCTCAATTGCTGCTGCTGCTTCTGTTAGATAAACAACAAACAACGTGTCTATCTAACGAAAAACAAACGTGCCGGAGAAAGGCCACTTGCAGCTGCATAATGAGTGATAACTATCCGGATTGAAGGAACGACCGGACACTGTTACACGTTGCTGGTGTCGATAAATCAAACTCAATTCTGCATTCGGTCAGATCTCCAAACAAGACAGCTTACTCATGGCAAAACAAACACAACTTGGGGAAACGAAAACACATATTCAAGGAGGGGAACAAGGCCCAGCCTTTGGAATACTCTAACAAGTAGATAATAAATGCAAAAAAATCAAACAAAAATATTGTTTTGAAGATTATGAATAAGCCTAAACGTTAAATATACATTGAGGTAAATCTGCCTAGACTTTAAAAGAATTTTTGAATAGAAAATAGAATAGAAAACCTAAAAATAAATTAAGTAGTTTTCTTAAATTCCAAAAGTGTGATTTCCCAGCAGCTGTAATACCTTCTGCTGCAGGTATAGCAGAAACACAAAAACAAAAACAGAATTAAAGCTGATTTAAGTTGGGCAATTGAGAAGCTGATGAGCCGCACGAAAAACATGAGCCACATGATACCCCAAGAGCTTGTTATTGCAATTGAGTCGAGGGCGTCTAATTGAACGTGAGGCTGAGTTTGGAAGGAAACTTATGGATTTGAAATTGGATTTGAGAGGAGACTTAGGCTGAGATTATGTGAGGGAACACCTACAGAAATAAGCAACTGATAGTATTACCTAATAACTATTTAATTATTTTTTTTATATATATTTAAAGCTATATTTTGAACCGTGTTCCCAAGTGACTATGCTGACTTGCAAATATTTTCTACTAGTGATGAGCTAATAACATTTAAGAAAGTGAAGTGAACGTTTTTTCTTTCCCAATTTCCCTAGCCTTTAGTTTAAGGTAAAATAGTTAGATTCTAACCATAGTACAGAGTATCGTCTCTCCCTGTGCTTCTGCTGTTTCCCAGCAACATGTTCACAGCAAACGCAGCGGAATCCTGACCGCTGGCCTCCTAAAGACTGCTGGTGTTGCAGGACCGCAGATCCGTTCTTGTTACCACTTCCTTGGACGCTCAAAGACATGGACTTGAAGAGCCTGGGCATGGACTTGGAACGCGAGTGCGTGGGCGCTGAACTGCGTTTCAATTGCAGCGCTTGAAATTGCGAGTTAGAATTTGAATTTGAATTTGAATCATAAGTCACATTGTTGTTATCGCACTTGTCACCGCCGCAAAAACTGGCTGCGGCTGGCACGGGGGCAATTTCGAAATGGAAACCGTTTTCGGACAGCTTATCGGGCCGGCTGCCGGCGGATTCACTATTGTTGTTGTTGCACATGGCAGGCGGATGATAAGCGACCCACGGAGGTGAGCACTTCAAACACTAAAAACCCGAAGAGAGATACCCGAATAGAGTCCAAAAACCGAAAAAATTTGGAGGCAACCGAGACGCTTCACGTACTGCGTCTAAACGTAAACTGAGCGAAAAGCCAACTGCTAGCTGCGGAAAAAGGTTCTCCCCGTTGGGCAGTCGTTATTTTCTGGAGAATCAGCGGCACAAACACACGCAAACACCCTCGCACACCCCACAAAGTAAACCGAAGCACTCAAACTCGGCTGGGGAATAAGAAAAAATGGAGAGAAGAGAGTGGAGAATGGAGAGGTTGCACTGCGGAAAATGGTATAAATCATATCGGAATTGCCAGGGGAATCATAGAAATGTCTTGGGACTGAGAACCCAAGCTTGAAGTGGGAGAAAAACGAGCATCTTAAATTCCACAGAACTCGATAAATTGATTTCTTATCATATTTCTTTGTAAGATAAGAATTAAAGGAATTAACTTTAAAATATTTTATATCATTTTTTCACTACGAATTTCTTACTCCATATTTAGAAATCGATCACAACAATAGCAGATAAATCCCATTCGATCTTCACGGAGAGATTGATGACGTTGCAATACCACGGGTTTGCTTTTCTTGGTTATAACCGAAGATAAGGATCTGCCAAGGCCTCTTAATTTGTATTTAAATAAAACCGGTTCCGAGGCACTAAATTCATTATTCATTATATAATCCATTTTTAAATTAAATTCAAGAAACTAAAAGTTTTAAAACCCGTAGAAACACAGACGTTTTCAAGACCGCTTTTAAACTTAAACTGAACAAAAAACCAACCGCAGGCCTGGGATAAATGAGTTCCTCGTTTGTTTTTAGATTTCTTAAGAAAAATCAATGCAAGCAACTGCATTTAGGGAAATGTTCAAGAATAAATGCAGATAAGAAAAGGAATTACACTAACAGAAGAGTTAAAAATAAAAAATTACAGCCTTTAAATTGTAAATTCTTATTTATAAGTGTTTTCTTATACATAAAATTTTATGAAATAAAAGAAGCTATTTATTGTCTAAAATTTAATAATTAAAATTCAAATTATTTATATTTTTTTGTAGAATTTTTTCTTTATGTGTAGGCAACTAGAAGCTAAACAATAACAATGAGTAAACTCGGGAGCGGCTGAGCGCCTTCTTATAATTCTTGTTGTTTTCGAGCTTTTTTTATTTCGCTCACAGCTAAACTTCTCATAACTGCTGTTTATATTGTTGTTGCTGCTTCGCACTCTTCAGTGTAAATGGGTTTATATCTTTATGACTTGTGCCTGAGCTGTACGACACGCGATTAATAGCCCAGCGCGAAAATATTAGGTATACCTTTGGGGCAACAAGTTTATAAGCAAAGAGAAGTGGCTTTAAGTAGATTATCATAGAAACTATGGAATTACTAATTGTAATTTGTTGAAAAATAGTTTAAATTTAGTAGAAACCTGTTTTAGAATTGAACTGCTAATCATTCTCTAAAAATCATTCATTGTACCTCCCCTCTTAACATATTCCCTCTAAGTGAGTCACAGAGATTGCTCCAATTTAATCTAAAGACCAGCAAAGAAACCACAACAAATTGAAGACATATATATATACTATATCTCCCATGTGAAACTGGCACGATTCCCTCGCGTGGCTTTGCATTTGCACTCCTCCGGTTAACCCCTTTGACAGACAGTTCGGTAATAAGCCATTTGCCGGTGACGCATGACAAATGGATAAGCACCAAGCAGCAATCGCAGTGGAAGCTAAATGCATGATAAATTGCCAAAGACATGCTCTTATACTCGGTCTCCCATAGCCGGGCAGTGTTGGTTTTATCTGGTAACCCAGTGGAATACGCACGAGTGACGAATGTCGGCATCAAGGGAGCTGATATAATATTATAAAACAATTTATGAATTTGTTGTTTTGTCACACTGACCAATTGTACAGACAACAAAGATAATTTCTCAAAGGTTGTGATGATTATAGATTAGAATTCAATTTAAAAGAAACTATATCTTGGAGTATATTTTAAATAGAAAGAAAATGCCTTTATGTTTATGTATATTAATCTTTAATGGCTTTCTGTAGAACTTTATCGTTAAACTATTAATAATAAAAATCCCTCAACAAACATTATACATATATTATTTAAAGAACTTCTTATCTTATGAATGGGTTTGTTTATATTTTTTATAATTTATTGTTTCAAACACGTGCTTCAAACCTAATAAATCAAACACATAATTCTCCATAGAACTTCTTATCTGCTAAAGGTTTCCAAATTATTTAATAAAACACTATGGGGAATCCCACACAAGCCAACAAGTATAATGCCCAAATTTCCGATAAAAATTTAAAATAAATCAGTATTGTTTGTTATAAAAAAACACACATTCGCAAGAGCCTTTCTATGTTTGAAATATAACGTTTCTTCCTATAAATCAAGTATAGTTTTTTTAGAGTTTCAAGGACTTACCCGCTAAAACCGCGACGTTTAGTGGACGAAGATAAAGCATCTGCCTTGCTGCGATTGCCTTTAAAAAAATAATAGAAAAACCAAACATTTTAATTAAAGAAATTTAAAAAATACACAAAAATACAAGGCTCAACTCACCTTGATCCTGCATATCGGATTTCTGTGAGCCCGCTGCTGCTCCGCCTGCACCCGTTCCGGCTCCGGATCCGTGCTTGTGAGAGCCCGGCGGCGGTTTGAGCACTGAGACAGGCACAAGGCCCTCCTGCACGGCGGCATCGTCGTGCTGCGGATTCAGGCGCACCAAGCAGAAGTCCGGCTCGCCGGCTGTGGGCTGCTCGATAATCTCTACCTGCTGGCCCTTGTTCACGCTCAGCTCGTTGGTGCCAGCGCTGGCAATGTAGTCTGCCACCACCCAGGTGGCCTCCTGGTTGCCCAGCTGGAAGGGATAAGAGAGATGAAACGAGATGAGTATAAAAGTGTCGCATTTCCTGGGTTCCTAGGAGATTAACCCATAGAGGGTTTTGCTATTTTAAAGCTATGAAACTTTCCGAAAATGAGTTTTCTTGAATTTTAATTAAATAATATACTTATTAATAAATATATTTAGTTATTAATAAGAGTTCTAGGACCCATTAATGTTAAGAGCTAAAAGACTCAACAATTATAAAGAAAGTCAGGCAGCTTAAGCTTGATTAATCGACATTCTTAAAGCCATAATATGAGGCCTTTGGAGGGTTAAACTGGCTTGGGTCGAGGTCGAGAGCTGTACAACCTTATTGATTGACCGTCTGAAACAAAGGCCGAGGCCCCGGAGGGTCTCAAGGATCATCGGCAAAGCGAACAACTAATTAGAAAGCCATTCAAGCTTAGCACACATCCATTGTGCCACGGAAAACACAAGGAAGCACAAGGAAACACAAGGAAGCGGAAGTGAGAGCCCGAAAAAGGAGGCTGGCCCCGAGGAGCACTTCCGTCAGATTTGATTGGCGGCAAGCCACCAGAACAACCCACCTAATCAACTAGGCCTCAACCTCCATGCTCTCCCCTCCTCTTCCTACTCTTCTGTGTACATTAATAATTTATAAGTTTATTAATTTACATGCAGCCTTGTCGGTTTGGTGTCGATGTGTGGGCGTCTATCAGCTCTTTAAATCGCAACGAGCAAAACCCCAAGGGGGGCGGCCGGTTGACGCCAGATGATGGCAGCTGGATGGGAAAATTGTGGTTAATCGCCAATCGATGCCACTGGAATCCACAGAGTAAAGGGAAGTGCACAGAGAGAAAGTTTAACTGGAGATGTTAAGTTAAATAAAAACTTTGAGATACTCAGCATTATAATATTTTATGGCTAGTTAAAAGGTGTATTACAACTGCCTCCGTAATAAACCTAATTATTTATGTCCACGTTTTGCTATTTAAATAACAAATAAACGTAAGCTTAACAATTACAAATATATAGCGTTAAATACAAGCTGACTTTACATTTTAAAGCCTATTTATTTTATGATAAGTACACATTAGTATTCATTAGAAACAGGAAGGAAGAGCTTGTTAAGATTTCTTACAGCCTTTCATGTAGTTAAAGTAAATATTTGTAAATATTTTGCCAAGACATATCCTCCGGAAATAAACACTATTTATTTTCGTAGAAACTGTAATCTAGTTACAGTTTAAAGCATTAAGTACTTCCTCTTTTTGCTGTGCACATGTGAGACTGAATATTTCAGCTCTATATGAAATTCCCAGGCGTTGCCATGGGATGATATTTATTTCACATATAATATTTATGTGGGACACGCCATAAACTGGCTGAGGGAGCTGGCCGCATGGAAACACCTGGCAGCAGGTGGGCTAGAGTACGGAGCATAGAGCACGAAGCTCAAAACAAGGTGGCATGGGCCAAATGGCAAAATGATGTCGCCAAGGCAAACGACGGGTGACGAGCGGAAGGAGCGAGAGAGAGAGAGAGTAAATTAAGGAGGGGGAGGATGGGCACTAAAGAGGGGGCTGAGGGGGGCTGAGGTGACTGGCGCTCATAAGCGCAATTAAATCAACTTCATCAGCGGACAGGAGCAAGAGCAGCGGCATAGAGAGAGAGAGAGAGAGAGGAGAGAGAGAGAGCTTAGTTTATTATGCTCGCCTGGCTGCCTTTAGCCACTGCACGACCTCCCAGTGCCAGTGTTTACAGGGGAAGAGAGGGAGCTGTTAATTTGATACACTAAGAAAAAATATACTTAAAACTATTTTTAAAAAACTTTTAAATTGTTGAAAAAAAATTTTTTAATTATATTTTTGAAAATTTTAAGTAAAGTTAAGAGTAACTTTGTGCTAAAAACCTTTAAAATACCTTTAAAGCTTTTTTTTTTTGCTTTGAAAATTTTGTAAATTATTCTCCAAGTGTACCAACTCACACACACATTTAGAGCGGGCCTTTTTTTGTCCTTTTAGGAGCTCCAGCTCCAGCCATGGCGCTGTTAATTAAGCAGCACTGACACGGAAACGTGCCGCGCTTGTGTGTGCAAGTATTAGTGCTGCTGGTGTTTGTGTGTGTGTGTGTATGTGTGTAAGCGGTGAAGGGCGCTTGCAGGGTGTTTGTGTCAGTGTGTGCACGTTTCCGCTTGTAATGCAATTAGTTGAAAAGTTTCCGAGGCGAAGTTTTGAAAAAGTTTCTTTCGACAAGAGTTCTGGCGAGGAGACAAGAGGCGCAGCTCCGCTCAGCTCAGCTCAGCTCCTTGGGGAGGCGTGGCCTCTTGGCAGTAATGATTTTTGTTGTTTTTATTTCTACTTATTTTCGGCTCTTAAATTGCCACTCAGCCTCAATGAAAATTGATTGGTGGAAAAAAAAAATAAGAAAACAAATGAAAATCAGAAAGAAATGAATTTAAGCTGCCTCATAATTCCTGCAAGCCGGTGGCGTATACGTAATGCGTATACGCAACGTAAGACTCATCATTAATCTCATCATCATCATGTTCATGATCATCTTTGCCATTTGGCTGGCTGCAAATTGCTGCAGTCACGCAGTCACATACACCCCCACACACTAATAAGCTGCCATCAGGAGGAATTTTCCCTTTTCCACCCACTTTCCTGTGTTCCCCCTCCAGAGGATGATTTGCCAAGAGTGCTGGCAGCGCCTGTGGGTGGAAAATGTGAAAACTAGAAGCCAGAAGCAGCTGTCAGAAATCAGGAAAATCAACTGCAAGGAGAGGGAAAGGAGGAGACAGTCAGAAAACAGAGAGAGCTCTTTAAAACAAGCAACTTTCTAATTCTTCTCAATTTTCACCGAAAATTAACTCGGCTTTGCCCCGCGGAGACTCTTTCATTTCATTGTAGCTACAAATTAAGTTCATGTTCGCTTTCGCTTTCCTCTTTTGTTTCGTCTTTCGACCGAGTCTTTCATTAAAATAATGAAAGGATATTTCAGTACTCACAGCAGCAGCAGGAGCAGCAGTGGCAACAGAGGGAAATCGCACGAGTTTTTCCAGCTGCAAAATGCAATCAGCGCCGGCTTGTTGGGTTTCTTCGCCTTTTCGCCTTTGCCCATCGCCTACATTTTTGCATAAAATAATTAACGTGGCTTACAGTTTCTCTGGCGCATTTCCATATTTAAAAGGACCGAAAGGCGCTACCAACTAAATTTAAAATTCCCTTTTTAGGTAGAAAATTTCCTAAAAAATTTTCCAAGTTATTGAGGCAATTGCAAGGCCATAAATTGGCAGGCGCAATCCAATGGAGAATCAAACCTCATCTATTTTGCATACTCAATTGAAAACTTTCCTCGCCAAACTCGAGGCGGATTTGCATAGCTGAGGAGTTGGGCGGAAAATGGAAAAAAGAGGAAAATAAACAAAGTGGGGAAAACCCAAGCCTAGGATGCAGCCCGAAATTCTGACGAAAACTTGGTAGATTAAAGTCCTGGAAGCAAGTCCAAGGACACGGCAAAATACGTTGACAAGGCGGGCTTTTGCAGTTGACACTCGCAATTTCACATTCGCATTTCGAGGGCAAAGTTTTCCTGGGAGTTTTTCTCGCTTTTGCTGCTGCTGCTGCTGCTGATTACATGCTGATAACAATAATAGCTCAGAGACTCGGAAAACAGGCGCTTCACATGAAAAGGAAAGGCTCAGCCGGAAAATGTGCTCCTTTCTTTTTTCCTCTTTTCGGCAAATTGTAAAGCGATTTGGCAAAATGTTTACGTTATTATTGATGGCTCTCCTTCTGCTTTCCCAGGCTGGATTGAAGGGGGGAGTGGCAAGAGGCTCTGGCATCCCGGGATCCTTGGGATGTAAGCTCATGTCTCTGCCTTTCGAGGAGGCATCGTAAAAACGCAATTGCTGCGACGACGACCCAAAAAGCCATCAATTGTTAAGTCATTAAAAAATATGCTTAGGCTGGGGAGACGCAGGGAAGGAGCACATAAAAGCAAGCGTCAGGGTTGTCAAGTGAAATTACAAACATCATTTAACTGATTGGAATAATGGGAGGCCAAGCTCTTCATTGCACTGGGAAAATTTATATATTTTAAGGGATAAATAAGGGTATGTTTGAGTTTATTTAAAAAATGTATTATTAAGGAAAGCCTTGCAAAAAATATTTAGTTTGAAGAAGATTTAAAAAGGCATAAGAAATGTAAACTAGAATCAAAGAATAATTTCTAAAATGTTTATATCTAATTCTATTAATTATTGAGCAATATAAATTTAAACAAGAATCTCTGCAGATTAAAATAACATTTGTTTCGCTATTTAAAATCTGTATTATTTTATTCCAAACCATTAATTTTTCTTGAATACCAACTAAGGCCATAAATTAAGCAATAAATATTTATATCAGCTAATTGCTAAGCTCTATTTAAAGCCATAAATATGTAGATTTTTATCCAATTGAAAATAAATATTTTCCATACTGCAATTTCTTTTTCCCGAGTGGAGGCCATATTTTAAGCATTTATCAAAATAAAGCTTTAAAGCACTATAAAAAAAAATCTGTAAGACGAAAAGGGGATTTGCGTTCAATACATTTGATTTGAAGTGAGATATTGAGTGGAAAAGGGAAATTTTCGACAGATTTTCTATGCCAGTCCGGTGTTGTTGCTGTTGCCATGTTGCCTGTTCCTTTGGCCGAATTTGTTCGCCTAAATGCCCTCATGGGCGCCATAAATCACACAGATATGCCAGAGCAGCGCACACCAGAATACAAAACAGGAGAGAGATATATATTGAGAGAAGGCTCCTACAATATAGGAGGTGCCGTGTTTCTGTGTGAATAAATGTGTGTACTTATAGATAGCAGCCCCGCACACTGGCTGTGTTTCTGGGGTACATAAAACATAAACGTCTATTATTCAATTAACTCGCACAGTGGGTCCGCCGGCAGGTGCAGCAGTCAGGGGTCGTTCACGTTCCCTGGGTCCCGACATCAATTACGTTGTGG